CAGAAAATTATCAGAAACCTTGTGTATAATAACCTTATTGTTGGTTACATATTGGCGTAAGAATAAAGCATTCTCGAGTCGCCAATCTGTATTCTGGTTTTTCGCGTTGGTTATTATAAATTGTTTTCTGAAAGTCTTCCATCGACATCGTGAAGTCCAGCGTAGTAAGAGCTGGACATTGACAGTCTCTGAGAGTTGGCTGACGACAACCATGGTCGACAACAAGTGAATAATCTTTCGGTGACTGGTTTACATGATACCTCTCTACAGAAACAATTCGTTCAGAGGATAGGAGATAGAAAGTAAAGTACTTCATTACCTATTGTCACTCGACTGGTGAAACAGGGATCTATAATATATACAGGCGAGTGAGTGGGAAGGTTATAACTCCTTGTCATCCCTTGGATATTTTCACCACAGAGTTAACCAATTTAATGATTTTGTGGATCCCATTACAGCGACCACCACCCACCAATTCTATCGAAGGCTTTTGGGGAAGGTTAAAGAACAGGATAAGAGCCATTAAGAGATCTCAAAAGGATGTCATTTTTAGTCATTTAGATGTCTATATATGTATAGGATGTGGTGTAACTCTTCAATTGATACTCCTATGCTAAACTGGGAGATATTTTATCAAATGTGAAAGGTATCCTATGTAACACTTTTATAAAGGTTTATGCATCTTTTTCAGAAATATTTGTATTCCGTACACAAAAATGCCTCCCTTATGTGATTGGTGCGTTCAAGGTCATTCGCTAATTGTTATTTAATGATGCTTAAAGTTTACTTTTGCCAAAAATGAATCACGTATATTATTGAGTTTAAGTATAAAGCTTGGGCACTGTGGTAGAGTATAACTCCATTATAGATAATATTTTATTTTGATAAATCACACAGTGTTGTTAGACAGTAAGTGTAATATTAACTGATGACGTTTTGAGCACAAATTATTGTGGGTGACTTGTGATATGATTATGAGCAGCAAAACGTCATCAGTTTTATCAAAATTTATCAAAAAATAAAATCTTATCTAGGGTCCTACATTCTATTCTTCACAGAACTGACTATAAGATATTGTACTCTGGATAGAGAAAAATAACACAATGCATTCGATATTACCTATTTTAGAACAAGATAAATTTTGAGCGAACATTTTATTTTTGATAACAAATTCTCTTGTTGTTTGTTCTTCAGACTCTACACACTTATAAGTCTGTGAATATTAGAATACACGAACAGAATAGTCAGCTAGTAAAGTAGAGTGTATATCAGAAACTGGCTACGTGAGTGTGTGTGCGCCTGCACAGATAGTTATTGATTTAAATCGTACACTCAGAAGAATTTATCTTTACACACTCGTGAATATATATGTTCTACAAAATGAATTGTAACAACTGCAAAAAAACACCACATTGGCCAAAGTGGACTACCCTCCTCTTCGTCTTCGTATCCACGATCATAAGCTAGCTAGCTAGCCGTCAAAAGACATGATATCCACTCCATCACTCATATCACTACACACAGATAACCATGGACATCAATTCGACTCAGACAACCAGTGTTTAAATATTAGACAGAGGAAACAACAAGAATTCTAGAGAATTTTTAGAAGCCCACCTGGTATTCCAGTGAATCATCAATCAATAGACACATCGAGATAGACAAAATTTATCAACCGATAAGAAAGAAACCTCACACACACACAAAGGGTCAAAGTTCAAGTCAAAGAGACAATCAGTTCCAATACACCTTGTAGGCTAGACGGTGTGAAAAAGCACAAAACCAACCAATCACGACGTTGAAGGTCACCAGGAGAGATGCCTAATAAACTCGTGGAGAAATCTAAAAGCTCACTTCAACGAATTGAAGTATGCGCTGAAGACGTTGCCTAGTGTTGGGGCAATGAAAGCTTTGTAAATAAAAATAAACTATCCAGCTCAGAGAACACAACCACATCAAAATCATCCACGTGAGCTACAAATCTTCTCCATCATATCTACATATGTTCTATTTTTTTATTTTTGATTTACAGCTTGATTCCACACTGTATTTTTTGGTACAAGTATGGAATTTTCAGCATGGATATCGGTAGCCCAAATTTTGCAGGCCGACCATAGATATCAGGTGTGCGTCGGCGTGGGCTCGAACCCCGGACCATGTTGCATGGTCGGTGAGAGTCCTAACCACTGTGCCACCGACGCACAGTTTGGCTTGGAAAAATAAAAGAGTAACCAAAATCAATAAAAAGTGTCATTTTATCTCACTTAGTTGATAGTGAACACCTCATCAAAATAGGTGAGTCAGTCATTTACAGCTTTGTGTACCGAGTGGCAATACAATTTGACTAAAGGTACACGATTACGTCTCCTATGTAGATATAGAGGTGAAGATAAAGGGATTTTGAAACATGATTTAAACAAGCAAATCTGTATTTTCGGTAAATTCTCATTAGGCTAACAGGGATTAACAAGAATAAACCTGATTGCATTTTTGACAAAATACAATGCGCATTCATTCTCTTTGTTTATCCTGGTCTACTATAAGGTCATCAGGGGTGTAGTCCTTATGATATTTTCATGTCTTATTATACTGTTCTTATTCTTTTTCACACCAATTATTATTATCATTATTATTAATTGTCAACCTTTATGATTTACACTAAGCTTATCATGACTTTAGACCACTATTCAACCTCTATATTTTATCATCATTATAATTATATGCCAACCATTGGACTTACATTGAGTATTTCTAGTACTGTTTGTTTGTATTTTGCGGCATTCATTATTTCTACTCCCTCCTCAATGAATCTTATACTCTGGATTTAAGCATGAGTTGGCATCAGTTAAAGGACCATTGGAAAACAACTGGGAGTACTGCACAGCTGTTTCGTCCCAGTCTGGGACTCTCCAGAAGTACGCACCCACTGGAGTTGGAACCCAAGGACCTTCTGGTTACAAGGTAAGCTACTTCGTAGACCATTAAACTACTGGGACCCGATCGAATGGCCAGCCAGTCCATGAATCCCAACTTCTACCAATTCACGACATAGCATGAGGACTAGCCAACACATCATCGACGAGTATTTGTCGTCACACCCGACCTGCTGCATCCTACTCGTCGCGACATCCCAATAGAACTATCTATCTGAATGGAGCCAGGCACTAGTGAGCATCAGATTGATGTTCAAGTGATGGTTGTAGGGATTTGATTTGAATTAATTGGTTACAGGATTCCATCATGAGTTGATATTGGTTAGAGGACCACCGGGAAACCTGCAGGGAGTACTGGACAGCTGTTTCGTCGGCCTAGTTTGGGACTCTTTACAGTACGCACCCACCAACAGGGATCGAACCCAGGACCTTCTTGGTCACAAGGCGACCTCGCTGACTATAAATACATTAGTAGGTCACTAAATTGTCTATTCACATCTTACCTTATTTTTTGAAGGGCTGTACATTTTATGTATACATTCCATACTAACTAACGGACCATTATTTTGTCTCATACTTGTACTCCAATAGAATAATTTCTGATATAATTTTGATTCGCCTTTGTTGGCTGGCTATTTATTTGTGTATTCTGATGATCATAGAGATATCGAAAACAAATTTCCGCTCAAAATTCATGATGTTGTTCTGATTACAATATAGGAATATTGAAATTACTGATATCTATTTTAATGGGATAGATTCTATATCATGTTACACTGAATCTATTTCGGCGACTATCATAACCAAGAAGTTTGTACATTACTATAGTGCTTTGATTAACATCACATATTAGTGCTATCACCCTTAAGAATTGTTTTAACCTAGACAGTTGATTCTGGTCCACATATTCACAGCCAGGTCTACAAATCTACTTGATCATCCGATAAGTGTGTTTACAGACTATACTCTTAGGAATGGGATGATTAGGGATCATGAGATCATAGAAATTATGCTGATAAAAGAGTGGTGATCAAAAAGACCAGTTAATTTCACGTTGGTACTTGACAATAGATTAAATTAAAAGCACATTCTGTTTCCCTAACTGAGTGGTTCATTTTAGTGAACAATATTGAGGCTAAGTGTAGTGTTGGGGGTAAGGAGAGATAATCCAGTTGATAAGGTTAAGAATTTCCGTGGATTGAGATAGGTAGGACACACGCATTGAGCATGTCAAGTCGTCAACCCTCTCTCAACAACCAGTACGAAAACCTCTGGGATGACACTTATATAGCATATGTCCAAGCCACCAAAGCCAGTGTTCCAAGACGACAACACTCAATGAAATATGAAGTCCACTGTGACCAATATACACGATGCTAGACTTTAGAATTACTTGTATGATGGTGTCACCGGGTGCAGCAATTCTAGAGAGGCAATGGTGATCGAATAGGTGGAGTCACCGAAAGTCCTCAGCTCAGAAGTGAAAGCGAGATCACCGAACCATTGTAAACCCGACCTTTGGCGTCGCAACTGAGCCAGAATTGGTAAAAATTAGCATATGCAACCTTAGCTTTCGCTATACGGTTAGAAATTTCATACGTCACACCTCCACCAGCACTCATAAAACTACCTAGATAAATGAACTTATCAACAACTTCAAGTGGTTCACCTAGGAGAGTAGTGCATACAAACACAGGCTCCCATCAATCATGTAATAGTACTTTGCACTTAGACGGCGCAAACCACATACCATTCTTAAAGACACTGATTGTCAACTGATTATGCGCTATTCGAGCAGGCTGCATGCTATCACACAGTAAGGCGATATCATCAGCAGACTGGGGGTCAAAAAGTCTTCCTCTAGGAAGCAAATCTATTCGGTAAACACCATGCATATATCCTTCAGAATATCATCGATAACAAAGGTAACAAAGAGAAATGGAGAGATTGAGTAATCTCCTGTCCAACCCTATTGTTGGTTAGAAACAGTGATGATCATACAATGGTGGTTATGGCTTATATCTTGTTGTTTGTAGAGTAACAACACAAGATCAAAATATAACTTACGAACAATCGGCATAGAATTCAGCTGGCCATTCATCATCTATTGATTCATCATTATTTGCATTGATTGATGCTTTTTCATTATTATTCTGTTTATTCAGTAATTGATTACTATTATTATCATTGTCATTATTTTTACTATCATTAGTTGGTTTTTTATTAGCTATTTGTTGATTTGGTTGAGTTAACCAACGCTCCAATCGTGATACACATGTATCTAAGGTAAATAAACTGTTTGCGAAATCCTACAAGAATACATAAAAACGATATAATGAAATCAGTTGTGTTTTTCATTAACTAAAATTTTTTTTGATTGTATGGAGGATTTCACCATGAACTGACATCAGTTAGAGAACCATTGGAAATCCTGAGAGTACTGGACAGCTGTTTCCTCCGTCCTAGTTTGGGACTCTTCATCAGTACGCACCCACCGCCGTGGTTCGAACCCAGGACCTTCTGGTTATAAGGCGAGCTATCTGGTGAACCATTGAGTTACTGGGACCCGACCCAATGGCCCATGAATTTTAACTTCTGTCAATACACAACACAGCGTGACCATTTCGTAATGTCTTCTTCGATGAGTTACTGCTTCATCTTCGACCTGCTGTACCCTCCTGGTCACGGCTTCCCACTAGAACCCCAGGTTAACTGCCTGGATAAGGCCAGTCGCTAGTGAGCATCAGATTAATTTTCAAGTATTGGTTTTTTAGGGATTTTGTTTGATTGCATGGAGCTCATGATGAAATCCTCCATCCAGCCAAACAAAATCCCTACAAAACCAATACTTGAAAATTAATCTGATGCTCACTAGCGACTGGCCTTATCCAGGCAGTTAACCTGGGGTTCTAGTGGGAAGCCGTGACCAGTGGGGTAGGACGAAACACATGTCCAGTACTCCCAGGTCCTCTAACTGATATCAGCTCACGATGAAATCCTCTGTCCAGTTAAACAAAACCAATACTGGAAAATATTTATTCTATTTCTGAATATTTTCCTCTCGAATTTTATTCTTTTTCTTGAATATCTAAGACAACAACGAAGCTGGTTACACCCCACCACGACCACCTCACCGCCCAACTGGATCAGGACACTATATCCCCGTCCCTAGGAAAAGATGAAATTTATAAAACGCAAATCTTAGACTGACAGTCAAGAGTCATCTTGAAGAAGCCTGACGTAATATCCAGTTGGTTGTAGAAAGTGTAGTGGTGTAAAGGGGATGTTGACTACCTAATACACACAAAAGGTCAGAAAATGCCAGTGGATTTTTGCTACTTTAAAAGCAAACTGGTCGAAAGCCTCCACAACAACAGCTGGTGAAAAAAGAGGGAAAGGTGAAAAAGGTAATACTAAAAAATTATTTAAAATTATTATAGGGGTGCTGTGGTAATGTTTGGTTGTGAAGGGAATATCCACAAAGCAAATCGCACTGATCAAGGCACTCTACTGGAAATCACGAAACCGTGAAAGAGCTTAAAGAAAGTTGACATCTAATATGTCTATCAAGGAAGTCCACTGTACCCATTTTCTTAAAACATTTCATCATAGATTTACTAGTGGAACTGACCCTACCTGATCTTAGCGACTTAGAGATTGACTTGTTAACCAGAAACAATCTTGTTGATATTGGAAAAGGGTAAGGGGTGATCAAACCAAGGGAATGAGATCAGTCTATGGTATCTTTGTCAGTTGGTTTGAACCATGCAGTGCGGTGTAGGCTGTCTGGATGGAGTTGCCGAGATCCAAAGACTAATAGCTGGAAACTATGGGAGATATGGCTCAAAGTCGTTTTCAGTGGCGAAGATGAATCTAATCTTTGTAATCCTTCATATTCAGCCAATGTCACCGGTGAGTATTGGTCTTCGCACCCGACATGGTGGAGGACACCCCCACCTACTTCCCACAACTTCTCGTTATAAACTCCAGGCACCTTCGTCCTATAGCTAGTCACACTAGTGAGCATCAAATTAATTCTCAAAAGTTAGTTTGTAGAGATTTGATCTGTTTCAGGTTTGATCAGGGATTGATATCAGTTAGAGAACCACTAGAAACCAGGAAGTACTGGACAGCTATCTCGTCCTAGTTTGCAACTCTTCAGAAGTAGGCACAGACGAATTCTTAGCTAAACATCAGAAAATCATGACATTCAGGCTCACTGGGTTGCAGTTCAATGACACGCAGATTCTAAATTTTGTCAATTCGTGATTTTTAAAGCCACTGCCAACCAGTCAGATGGGTGAGTATTTGTTTTCTCACATCCGACCTAGTGGACACCCCTCCCCCATACTCGCTACAACTTCTAACGAGAACTCCAGACAACCACGTCCTGTAGCCAATCACTAGTGAGCATAAGATTAATTTTCAAGAATTATAGTTTGTAAGTTCCGATACTCGGTGGGGTCGTGGGTGGGGCATAAAACACATTCTGTTGTTATTTACTCATCGTTTAGCTGAAAAAATAGTGTTCATCTCTTACCAGTCATCAAAACAACTCTCTCCAATACAACTTACGTAACACAAAAAAAACTGAAAACAATAATACGAGATTTCATGACAGGTATATACTACTGATTGATTTAAGTAGTTGGATAGCACTCATGTGAAACAGTAGCAGTGATTACTAACCAGATTCAAGTGATCTAAATATCGTCTGTTTTGCATTAAACTCATTAACAGAGGATCCCGATAGACTCAAGCACAAAGAGTTCGAGATGTGTTCAAACCATCCAAATTCTAGCTAACTAGCTGGTTACACATTGAAAATGATAAATATGATTTAATCGTAGGAAACGATTCTACTCCCAAACTAGGATGAAAAAGCCGGTCGTCTAGTACACCCTGGTTTTCAATGCTTCTCTAACTTATATCAATCCGTGATCAACTCGTAGAAACATAACAAACCCTAACAAACCAAACTATAGAAAATTAATCTGATGCTCGCTAGTGACTTGCTACAGGTTGGAGTTTCCTGCAGTTCCAGAGAGAAGTCGTCACCAGTGAGGTCCAATTAGATATCACGTGTGTGGATGGATGTCCCACCAACGACAATGGTTGGAGTCGCGATAAATCACGAATTGGTAGAAGTTAGAATTCATGCACTGGCCATTGAATCGGGTTCCAGTGGCTGAATGGTATACAAGCTTGCCTAGTAACCGGAAGGTCCTGGGTTCGAACCCTGGTGGTGGGTGTGTACTTCCGATGATTCCCAAACTAGGATGAAACAGCAGCTGTCCAGTACTCCCTGGTTTTCAATGGTTCTCTAACTGATATCAATCCGTGATCAACTCGTAAAATTATAAATATATATAAAATGATTATTCATGAATAATATAACAGACCTTCTCGTTTTTGATTTGCTGAAGAGACTTCAACTTGGTGGATAATTCTTGATCAACAGATTCCAATTCTTTTAGAACAGACTGGAGAAGAGAACAATAATTGAAAAGAGTATATTAGCATAAACAACAAGATTCGGATTTTCAACACTAAAATGTGTCAAATCTGTCAGTTCTTCTATATGGTTCACAAATTTGGTGAGTGTGTCACAAAATGTATTTCCAACATGCCATACTGTAGACTTTTGTCAACAGCTGCCTCCCCTCACTATCTCCATATTCTCTGGCTCCAAAATACACGAGTCAGTTTCGAAGGACATCAGGTTTAACTAACAACCAATATCAGTATTAGATAGTTGGAGGCAATCGGCCACAGGAAGCCTTGGCTACACCTAGGTTTCGTGCTAGTTGGCACTCACCACCAGTCAGCAAGGCGACGTATCTGCAACCTTGAAGGAACTCATGTCCCTTCTGAGATTCGAACCCGCGTCACCCAGTGAATGCTGCATTCAGAGACGTGTTAATGCAAATATGGCGTGCACAAAGCCAGCAGCTCCCTTTGTATTAGTCAATTACGCTGACCAGATGTATACGCAACAGTTAGTGGTAACACCTACACTTCCCTACGTGGCTCAAACCAACCGTCAAAGATTTCATGGATTGGTCTAATCATTCCTAAACCCTTTCCCCAAACCAATCTAATGTCGGCTAACTTTCGCATCAGGTAAGGCGATGGCTCGTCGTCCATGTATAACACGTGTCCTTGCCATCTCAATCGATTGGCTTATCCTCCTTACCTAATAATCTACACCGTAACCTCAAAATTACCCACCATTCTGTGAGAGATCTATCTTACCGGTAGTTTACATAATTTTCACTTCTTGCATTTCCAGTAGAACACAAAGCTTCAAGCTTGGGCTTTGGAGTGTCAGTAGCGGTGATGTTGTCGTTTCTGTATGATGAGATAGCTAGTCTTACATTCAACCATCTCTTTTTCCATGAACTTACTTCCAGCTAGTAAGCTAGGCAGCGAGGTATAGGAGTGGATCACAACCTGGGCGTCTCGCATAACTTATCAAATAAAGTAGTCTATTATTGGACCATTTAAACAAGTGAAATCAATAAGCTTAAAGATTCCTCTACACAGAATTCATCAGAAGCTGATATCAATTAGAAAACCCATGGAAGCAGGCAAATAGTACTGGATAGATGTTTTGCCCTAGTTTGAGACTTTCATCCAGCCGTACCCACCCCGCCGGGGTTCGAACCGATGACCTTCAGCTCGTAGACCGTTCCGGCACTGAAGTAGGCACATACTGATGAAGACTCCCGAACTAGGGAGAAATAACTGTCTGATGATCTCTGGTTTTGTAATGGTTCTTGTGATTAAACCTGTAACCAGCCAAATCCTTTCAAGCCAACACAGGAACGTTTTTTTTAAAACGTAGAAATTTACTGACTCATTGAATGAATAATACTTCTTTGGTTATAAATGGATAAACTCAGCTAAATTAGTAAACCAGAAAACAAACAGAATACTTTATACTTCCTGGTGATTCTAAACTATGGCGACATAAAGCGAAACTACCTATAAGGATTGAGCTTGTGCACTGTGGTATCAAGGTGATATGATTATGAGGAGTAGATTGTGCTCGAAACGTCATCAATAAATATTACTGCATAACATTGTGTGTCTGTCTGTCTGTTTTCGACATAGAACTTTGCACATATGTGCGCCAGTTCAAGTCGCCACACTCCCTCCTTGTACCACACAAAGAAAGAGAAGAAAGTACAAGAAATGCATATCAGAGACAGTAAACAGAGGTGTGAAACAAAGGAATAGTAATAACGAAGAACAAAACAGTTTCATTGGAAGTCGCAAGGAGTGGATGCATCTGCGCTAACCATTGATAACGATGAGTTTGAGCCATATCATCACCAACTGTTTCCAACCATTGGTTTTTACCGTCGCGAGAACCCCAACCAGTCAGGAAGTCTACACCTTCCTACGTGTCTGGCTTAAACTAAGTGTTGTGGATTTCATTGACTGGTGAGGCCATGTTTTGGTTTGACCGCCGCTAGCTTTTTTTCAGCCTGACCCTATATCCGCTAACATTGCTCGTCGAGGGAGGCGATGACCAGGCATACATAACACATGTCCTAACCATTTCAGTCTTTGTAACTTCACGGCTTCGTCGATTGATTTCCCCTGTTTACCTAGAACTCGACGTCTAATCTCAATATTGCTCACCTTATTATGCCACTTCACATGGGAGATAGAACGGAGGCACCTATGATCAAAGACAGCTAGTCTTTTCATGTCTTCCACTCTCAATGGCCAGGTCTTGCTCACAGGCATAAAGGAAGACGGAGTAGACTGATGAGCAGTACACCCGCCCTTTGGTCGATAGTCGAACATCTCGTCTACGCCAGAGACGGCGTAAACTGGCAAATGCGGAACGAGCTCCCTGTATTCGTGCTGAGATTTCGTCAGAGATCAACCCGTTGGCACTGGCTGATGGTACTTCCCGAATAAGTGAAGCGGTCAACGTGCTCTACCACTTCACTTCCTATTTTTAAACTAGGCGTCGACGTAGTCCAGTCCTGTAACATCATCTTGCATTTGGCGGGAGCGAATCGCATGCCAAACATTCGTAGATTGCGGCTCAAGGTGTTTAGAAGACTCTGCATTTCGTCAGCGTCTTCGCCTAGAAGGACTATATCATCTGCATACTCTAAGTCGACGAGATTATTCCCTGGTAGCAAGTCAATCCCTGAGTTGCTGAAGTCACTTAGGGTTAAGTCCATTAGTACATCTATGATGAAGTTGAATAGAAAAGGGAACATTGTGTGACTTCATCGAAATAAAACTTTATCCATATATATATATATATATATATATATATATATATATATATATATTCAAGTATTGGTTTTGCAGGGATTTTGTTAGATTGGATGAAGGATTTCATCATGAGCTGACACCACCAGAAAACTAGGACGAAACAACAGTATTTTTGGCACAAGTATGGAGCTTTCAGCATGTGATATCGGTAGGCCAAATTTTGCAGGCCGACCATTGATATCAAGTGTGCGTCGGCAGGGGATTGGACCCCGGACCATGTGCATGGCCGGCGAGCGTCCTAATCGCTGTACCACAGACGCAGACGGTAATGCAATGTTAAAAAGTATTTACATTGGGTAACTTTCTTGTATACGTTCCAAGAAAACCTCCCAATATCTCATAGGAATCCTCATAGTTAGGTTAAATCAATTTCTGAGCATATACGTTCGCTGAGGTAACTGTAAATCATCGTGTTTCTTGACCCACTTATTCACCTCTCTGATCCTCTTCTTTTTTGGTAACTCTAGAAACTATCGATGGAATTTGTGTAAGTCAAAAGGATTAACGAAATCGTCCCCCTATGATTGAGCACGTTGTGAATATAACTCAAGGATGACAGTTAGCTACACGTTTTCTCCCTCCCAATGAGAGCAGTATATTTACATACTAAATTTGGATGAAATTTGCTATGTAATTCGAGTACAACACACCCATAATTGCACCTCTATACTACGACCTCTCACCTGACTGTTTTCTCAAGTTCACCAATCCATTTATTAGGTAGTTTCGTTGCTTTAGGCTGCTATACTTTAGAGTCACTTATATTTTCAAAACAAACTTGTTTTGTTTGAAGATTAAATCGATTTTAGAATATGACAGTAAAGAATGTAAGCTATTTTAAGAATTTTGAAGTAACAATCATAAAAATAGTTCAGTAATTCTTTTCTCTTCATCATCAACTGACATTATTTTGTGAAAACTAAACCCCCAAAAATATACAAACAACGTCATTGAATCACTGAAAACACCGTTTCATAAATTTAGAAGTAATTACGCTTAATATTATAATTAGATATAATATTAGATATTTGGAGGCAATCGGCCACAGGAAAGCCTTGAACCTAGTTTTGGTGCTAGTTGGTACTCATCAGTCGGCAAAGCGGCGTATCTGCAACCTTGAAGGAATTCATGTTCCTCCACCCCCTGAGATTCGAACCTGCGTCACCCAGTGGGTGCTACAGTCAGAGACGTTACCACTGAGCTAGCTGTTCAGGCTCACGATTGACCTCCTGTAGGACTGTAATGGGCAGTTTGATTGGACGATTGCCTCCAACTATATAATACCATCAAATCAATGTGCACTATGATGGCCAACTACCTAGAATGGTGGCCACATTGGAAACCTGACTGACTGACAGTCTACACTTAAAAAAATGACTAGACAGATCACACTAGTCACTAGTCTCCAATAAAATTAGCTATAATGTTTGTACAATATTGGAAATGAGGTAAGCATAAGTGTTATAAGAGGTACCACCTCTCTCTACCTGGATATCATCATAGTTTATTTGTGACAAATCAATAGATGCCGTAAGAACACCGAATAAATACATAATATAAAAAATAAAATAGCATATTGTTAAGATACGTGGAAAAAATACAACGACTGCTTGCGATCTTTAGAGGTACTTGAAGCTCCCTGACAGAAGAAAGTCAACGAGACTATCTCTTAGTCTACAGAAAGCTCACTTACACAGGAAAGCATTTAAATAATCATAGAGTTTCTATCCAATCCAGTATAGAAAAGACATATTTAAACATATTCAATATATATTTTCAAGTATTGGTTTTGTAGGGATCTAGTTTGATTGGATAGAGGATTTCATCATGAGCTGACATCAGTTAGAGAACCACTGGCAAACATGGGAGTACTGGACGGCTGTTTCGTCCTAGTTTTGGACTCTTCACAGCATGCACCCACGGGGGTTCGAAACCGCTAAGGAAGGGAGGATGAGCGTGTGAGGTTAGCAACCTCACTAGCAAAAAAAAACACCTCCGTTACTTAGACCTTAAATAGCTCAATCTTGAAGCCTTATGTCGCACTCGAAACATACAAACGAATGGAAGTGATTCTTCGAGTACCTGAAACAGAAATAGAGTTAGTTAGTGTTGTGTGACCGAAGAGCACAGGGGACAACTTCTTGATACCGATCACACACACACGGCCTGTGTGAACTAGTTCCTTGGATTGGTTCCAAATTAGTAAACCTACCGCCGGTTACGGACCACCATAGGGTGGGAGGTCGGGATGTACAATTTTCTGGGTCAAACTTTTCTAACGCCCTCTCTCTCTACAGTGTTACACACGTCACTATTTCCTAGCAGTACGACTTTGCCAAGAGACCCCCAGCATAACTCCATTATGGATAAGATTTTATTCTGATAAATCACACAGTGGTGTTATACAGTAGTATTAACTGATGACGTTTCGAGCACAAACTATCGCTACTCATAATCACATGAAGTCACTCACTCACACAACTTTTTTCCTTCATTTATATACATGTGTGGAATCGATTAGATATTGGAATAAAAATCAATATAGGATAATGAACATTCACAAATAATAATATGAGTGTTATTGATCAATTACAATCAGATGGAAAATAAGACTAGTGTTTTTATATTCATAATAAGTAACTTGATAGAATGTTGTGATGTGTTTGATTTGAAATAGAATTTTGGGATTATTTATTATACTCTTCTGATTTGACTGATTGGTGGTAATAATATCTTCCATGCATATCTCTGGTACTTGCATTAAGTCATTTTTGTTGCATGTGTTGGATGTAGGCTTGATGAACCAGGATTCAGTTATCAATCTCTCTCTCCACCTAAATAGATTACTTCTTAGGATCTTAACCCTCTCCCACCACCCGATTGTATGGTTGTGTTAATGCAGTGCTGAGCTTTTTTCTAAATTACTTATCTTCTCGGGGTCAACCATTCTTACCTTAGCCAAATTCTTATGTTCCAACAATCTGACTACCCACGACCTACTAGTTTCACCTATGTAGTTGACCTCACTCACAGTCATTGCAAGGTATTTTGTAAATTGTATTATTTTGTTTAATTGGATCCACCGGGTCTTTTAGCCTACAGAGCTTGTCCTACCTGAGTGAGTTTGTCGGTTTGAATGCCAACCTAATTCTTGCTTTATTGAGAATCCTACGTAGGGTCTCAGATGACTATAAAAACACTCGTCTTATTTCCCATCTGATTGTAATTGATCAATAACACTCAAATTATTATTTCTGAATGTACATTATCATATAGTGATTTTATTCAAGTGTCTAATCATCAATTCCACTCATGTATATAAATGTGAAGGAAAAAAGTTGTGTGAGTGAGTGACTTGATATGATTATGAGTGGCAATAGTTTGCACTTGAAACGTGGTCATCAGTTAATATTACTATATAACACCACTGTGTGATTGATCCAAATAAAATCTTATCCATAATGGAGTTACATTCTAGCACAGTGCCAAAGTTTTACACTTATATCAAGACCCCCCCCCGTCCAGCATAGTGCAAAAACAAAATTCTTACGCTATGCCAGTAACTGCTTTTAGTCTAATCGCAATCCTAACAACCTTCCTAGCATAGTTAGGACCTGTAGGAACAATAGTTCCAGACAGTGTAGTAGCTTGTTGGGTCATTGCAAATTTACAAGCCCAGTGACCACCACCACGTCAAGGTGGCAACTATCCGTCAGGACACAAAGGAATAACTAATTAGTATATAAATAAAAGAATAAGTAACGCTCTATGCTACTGAGTGTTCTAACATAACAAACACATCGATTTACCAAAGAGTGATCTATTCTTCAGTTCATTATACAAAATATGATGGTGGTAGATTACAAACATATATATAAGCACATAAAAATAATTGACTTACTGATATATATGCTTGTAATTGTTTCAATGGTTTAGCTATAGTATTGATTGATTTGTCTAATCCAACAAGATTTGTCGATAAACTTACAAAATCAGCATAATCTTGATTGATTAATTCAATTAAACTAGACTTAAGAATATTGGAATATTGTAAAAGATCATCACGTAATCTTTCCAGTGATATACCACGACAATGTTGTTCTAATATAAAATCATCGGAATTAAAATCATCCTTGGAGTTGAGATGAGACCAGAGAAAAAAAATGATAATAAAAATCAATTAAAAAAATTGAAGAAAAAAGACTTACAACTAAATAAACGTAAGTAAATATAAAGGTATTTAGAAATAATAACAATAATAATAGTAACCAGATAATATTGATTACCACACATTGGATGTGATAGAAGTTTAGAAGAATTTAATCGTATTTCAAAAGATAATTGTGCATATTATTTCCATTGGTGGTTCAATAGTAGAAGGCTCATCAACTATACACACACACACCAGAAGTTTGGGTTCGACTCCTGAATGACACACACTACACTGAACTTAGCTGTCAGTAGTCAGATCGGTATAAGAGAGATAGAGGGTTGAGCAAGAGACTAGAAAGCCCACCACGTTAAAAACACTATAGGTACTGATTAACAGTGGTGAAATCTAGGATGAATATTTCGTCCTATTTGGGACTCGTCGGCTGGTGGGTGTACCTGAGGTCTCCACAGTGAGTAATAGTGTTCCATCTGAGACTCTGATCTAGTACGTTTAAAACAAGTAATGGCTGATGCCAGCTACACAAAAGGTGAACCTCGTGGCCCAAGTGAATAACACTGCAGTTTGAAACGAAGGGTACTGGGTTGGCACCTCAGTTGGAATACTATCACTCAGCAAGGATTTCAGGAACATCCATCCAGATGACAAGTCCCAAGTACGACGAAGCGTGCATCGTGGACTCAATCAGTGTTATTCCTCATACATCGTCGAAGCGTCCGGGTACTAGGAGACAAATATATCAACAAAGGCAGAACATTTCCGTCCGATCAATCATTGCACACTTCTTCATTATTTTCAGTGGTCTTTAAAGCTAACGTCACCACGGTATGTAACATTTATAATACGAAATAGTAAGGGGTTTAAGTGATATATTTCTTTTTGACACTAAGTATATATGGCCCGCCAGGGGATAGGGGGGTGGAGAGTATCCAAGTATAGTTATGCCACAGAAGGATATACAGTAAGCAGTTATATATGGTGTTGTAAAAGAGACTGGGGGATGAGTGCCTTCCGTTTTCCTGTAAACGAAATATATAATCACACAGTCTATGGTTGTATCGTTATGTCTTTTCGCTATCATATGCACTACTACTTCAACATTCCACCAATAAGTGAGTGAGATCAGTTTCAAAACTTATTCTACCCAAACTGAGAGATTTAGACATCTAGGTAGCGCTATTATTATTATACTTTACACAACATGAGTGATTCTTAGTGTAAAAATGCCTTATTCACACTAAATGGGATGGACTCTACTTTCTCCAAATTTAAAAAGTTCTAATAATGGACTATGTAACTTAATCGGATAATCTTTGCTGTTCACATACATAACTAGGCATTGTTGTACTCACTTACATTCTCAGGAAATCATGGTTATTGCATAATGCTTTAATATCGAGGGTCATGTGCAATACACTTAGAGTAAGAAGCATCATTTTTAACAAGTTATGAGCCATATTCACCCAATTAGATAGACAGCTCCCGAAATAAATTAAGCATTAAGTTTCCCAGCTAGCTGATCGATAAGCTTGTGAACCCCACCGTCATTATCAATTAGAGAGTAATGGGGGTGATAGCGGTACAACTAGTGAAAAATGACAAGTGTAAGTCATCACATGTTATCCAGATAATGATGAGATCATTAATCTGTGGTGGTGGTGCGATACAGGCAATGGGTTCCACAAATGAATACTATTCTCACAGTAACAATCATTGGATTTGTGGGTGTTAACGATTGAATACTATTCCTCCAGTCTGTCTGTTTCCGATATAGAACTTTGCACAAATGTGTGGCAGTTCAAGTCGCCACACTCCCTCCTTGTACCACACAAAGTAAGAGAAGAAAGTACAAGAAATGCATATCAGAGACAGTAAACAGAGGTGTGAGACAAAGGAATAGTAATAACGAAGAACAATATAGTTTCATTGGAAATCGTAAGTCACAAGGAGTGGATGCATCTGCGCCAACCATTGATAACGATGAGTTTGAGCCATATCACCACCAATTGTTTCCAACCATTGGTTTTTACCGTCCCGAGGACCCCAACCAGCCAAGAAGTCTACACCTTCCTACGTGGTTGGCTTAAACTAACTGTTGTAGATTTCATTGACTGGTGAGGCCATGTTTTGGTTTGACCGCCGCTAGCTCTTTTCCAGTCTGACCCTATGTCATCTAGCATTACCCACTGTCGAAGAAGGCGATGACTAGGCATACGTAACACGTGTATTCTTCCAGTTCAATAGTGCACATTAGCAACAGAATACTATATATATGCATTTGAACAGTTCATTTCATGTCGTTCAATGTAAACCGCAATCACACGCTTAGTGATTGCTTAACTAATATAAACTGTATAGTTATAAAGAGAGCTGTTCGATCACTTGAAAATATACCTTGACTCGTGTGTTTTGTCTTCTGCTGTTACAATTCCAGGAAGACTACTACTCAAAATGAACTACGAGTTTTTCTTCTGATATAACTGACAGTGGTTATGATGTGTCGGTGGCACAGCAATAGAATGCTCGCCAACAATGCCTCATGTGGTCCGGGGTTCCCGACCGCGACGCACTGCTTCACCTGACTAAGCCAGTAATAAAATTGGTAAAGAGGGAAGATTGGGCATGAGGTTAGCAGCAACCCTATTCTGTAAAAATAAACAAGCACCACCTGCTACCGAAACTACATGCCTCTAGCTTGAAGCAGCCTCTGTTCCACTGGGAACGTGAAAGAATAAAACAAGGAAAAATTTTTTTAATGTTAGAAGTACCATTATTCATCATAAATGAATAATGGTCATCTGACCTAACGAAACAAGTTATTTTCTTATGAATTAAGGGTGATTATCGAGTAGATTTAGTCATTTCAAGTCATGAGCACCTGGGCTCGGAAAGGCGCAAAATAGAACTTCATCATTCTGAAATCAGTTTGGAAATCTTCTACACTATTATTATTTTATCCTTTAATTCCAAGAGGAACATAGGGCTTCAGCTGCATGTCTCCATTGACTACTGTTTTCTGCCAGTCTTCATCCCGCTCCAAGTCTGCCCATATGCTTTCATCTCCTCCTCGCATGACCTCCTCCAGGTCACCCTTGGACGACCAACTCGCCGCTTCCCTTTCGGGTTTCACTCGAGCGATGGCTTGTCCAGTGATGTCACTTGATGGTTTCCTCAGAGTATGGCCAGCCAATCCATCTCCATTTCTTCCTGCCTATTTGTTTCACAATCGGTTCCTGGTTGGTTCGCTCATTACCAGAGATCCCTCCCTGTTGCTGATCTTTTCTGGCCATCTGATCTTGAGTAGTATTAACTGAAGGCAGCTGTTAATGAAGGTCCAAAGTTTGTTTGAGATGCTCTTTATGACGCACTGGCCAAGTCTCTGATCCGTATAGCGGCACTGACTTCACATTGGAGTTGAAAATCCGGATCTTATTTTTGATGCTGAGTGCTGTTGACCTCCACACAGACTTAAGGGTAATGAAAGCTTGTCTTGCTTTTCCGATTCTGGCTTTGATATCCTCGTCAGTTCCGCCTGTGGTGGAAACGATGCTTCCCAGGTCGGTAAAAGAGGTTGTTTCTTTCAGGTTCCTCCCATTTGTGCTGACCGTCGTCTGTTGTTGTTGGCCAGGAATCTTCATCACCTCTGTTTTATCTTTGTTCACCTGAAGTGAAGTCCTATCTTTGATGCTTCTTCTACCAAATTGTTGCTTTTCACTTGCATATCCTCCAGTTTGTGGGAAATCAGACATATATCATCGGCGAAGTCCAGATCCTCCAAGTTTTTTGTGTGAGTCCATTTTATGCCTGTTTCCTCATTTCCCGTTGTCTGTCGCATTATCCAATCTACTGCAATCAGGAAAATCATTGGTGATATTTCACACTAATGTTAAGTCAGTCAGTCAATTCTTCTATATTGGTCACAAGCTTGGCGCGTCACGAAAAGCATTTCCAACAGTCTGCAGACCTATCAACAGCTGCCTTCTCTGGCCCCATACACTGAAGATCAGACAGCACAAAGAATTAGCAACAAGAAACTCTGGGGACGAAACAATCAGGAACTTACTACTCAACAAATAGGTAGAAGCAGAGATGAGTAGGAAACATCTTTAGGAGACCGTTGAGTGACATCACGGGCCAAGCAGGTCCTCAAGTGGAGGCTTAATGGGAAACGACGAGTTGGACGTTGCTTCAATGGTGACATGGAGAACATGTGAAACGGTGGAAATAAAAGCTTAGTGACGATCGTGTTTGTCTGACTAAATCTCAGCACAAAAGTATGAAGGATTCTACGGACTGACTCCAGTTTTTGGCTAGACCACTTTTAATCCTTTTACAGATTAAGTCTATGTCAGCTAAGATTACCTGGTGAAGAAGGCGTTGTCTTAGGATTTGCAACAAGTGTCCTACCCACCCCCAATCGATTCACCTTCACGATCCGATCGACTGACTTCCCCACCTTACACAACACTCAACGTCTTACCTCAGTATTTTTCACCCTATTATACCCCCTAACACGGGAGATAGAATGCAGACACCTATAATCATCAAAGACATCTAGTCTTTTCTATATCTTTCACTATCAATAACCATGTCTCACAATCATGAAGGAGGGTAGAGAAAACTGGTGTGTAGTAAACACATGGTTTGAACGATAACCGGATATCACGTCTACGTCACAGATGACGTACTTTTTCCAGGTACCAAGCTATGAACTACTTGAAAGCCTAGAGTGAATTAGGCAGAAAAAAAATTGAATCAAAACGATTTCCAGAATTGAGATTAAAAGTGACGAAGTCGATGTCATCGGAAAGAAAATGTTCCACCAAAGTGTCATATAGGAAACCCGAATGCAATTAATCTGAATAGAAATCCAGTATCATCCCGTTGCAAAAAACTCCTTAATGTCTGGTCACAAAATCAATATTAATGACTACTTCACAATTATTTCAAATGATTCTAATTCAGCGTTGTTAAAGGTGATAGAAGCACTTTAGAAATTAATCAAATGCATTCCCCACTATGTGTGCATACAAAACAATACACTTCAACCTTTGCCTACACCAAAGGCTAACTAGCCAATAAAATATGATTGGTTATTGGTATGCACTATTGTTTTATAAAACTAAGTAATTTGTCAAACATTTTATTGTGAACCCTGTTACTAGTTGTAAAATGATTGTGGAGAAATTACGAAATAATATCAGTTATTTTTAAACAGCCACGTACGGAGATTCCTTGGGATAATAAGAACCAATGACGGCTGGAGAAAATTGATGATGCCGCTCAAAACTGTTCTCAGTGATGGCGCAGATCCATTCACTCTTTGTGACTTGTCACACTCACTAAAACTCCATTGCTCTTCCATATTACGATTCTTTTTGCCTCATATTTCAGATTATTATCTCTCTCTACTCTCTTCAGTAGGATTATTCACTTGTAACAAGTCAATCCCTGAGTCGCTGAAATATGTTAGGGTCAGTTTCATTTGTACATTCATGATGAAATGAAATAAAAATAGGAAAAGTGGGCATCCCGTGATGGACACCACTGGTTGTCACCACTTTAGATGACAACTCTTAGTAAACGCTCACCTCACCGGCTGCATCAGTCCAAGTAGAGTGCTTCAACCAATGCGAGGTACTTTCCCGCCAACCACTTCACAGACAAACATACCCAAAGTACCTCTCAGTCGACGCAATCGATTGCCGCTTTCAGGTCAAGAAATATGACCATAGTTGGACACCGACGGAAAGTTCCGTTCCAGAATCTGTCGAAGGATGAAGATATGATCGATACACCCTCTTCCTGATTTAAAACCTGTCTAGTTCTCTCATATTTGTTCTTCCCGAGCACCGCCTAGTCTACGCATCACATAAAGACTTGTCTCTCTTCTTGTAAATCGGGAAAATCAATGACTTATACCAACCTGACGGGACTATCTTTGATTTCCAGACACTAATACCTTAGTTAACGCAAGTAGCAAACTGTCCTCAAACACCTCTGGAGTCATTTCTTTTGCAACTTAGTTATTTAATTTTATTCCTTTGGCGTTCCGAGTGTGGGACATAGAGCTTCAAGTGAAAGCTTTGAATTTTTAGTAGCAGTAGTGCTTACTTTTTACATTATGACGTTGCTGGCCTCTCACCAAACCTTCCCTCTTCACAGGGCTTACTATGCCAGCTAAAAGAGAGGTAAAGCAGTGTGTCGCAGACAAGGATCGAAACCCGTACCAGGTGGGTACTTGGTGAGTGTTCTACGGCTGAACTGCCAACGCACTTCATGATATTATACAGTATATATATATATATATATATATATATATATATATATATATATAGCAAATCATAGAGGTAAATTTTGAAAAATAAAACAGGCGCTTACATTTAGAAATAATTCACGGTCGAAACAGAATGTTAGACCAGTTGGTGCAACATCAAATGTATCCTCTAACAATAGTTTGCGTAAATTACATTCCGCTTTTTTCACTAGTGAAGTATCCAGTTTACTACTACTATTATTATTAACTTGGCTGTCTTCTTCAAGAACTGGCATTGTTGTAGTACAATAAACTAAAAGATGAAAAAGCTCAAGTTGTTATTATATTTTAAAAGCTTTTGTATTTCTCAATCAATGAAAAGAAAGAAAACGACATTGTTGATCCGACTGACGTTTCGCTATTTAATGCAGCTAATGCTAGTAATATTATAATAAACCAGAATTTACAAACTATCAATTTACAGTAGATAGAGTGGACAAGATTTGTAGCTCAGGTGGATGATTTTGGCGTCGCATTGTGTTCTCTTAGCTGAAAGGTTTTACTCGCGAAGCTTTCATTGCCTTACCACTACTACTAGGCAATATCACCCTTCAGCGTATACTTCAACCAAATCAAAGCCCCACCTCTCAAAATGAAAACGCAAGGAAAATCACCTTATTACATACAAAGAACATCTGAGAGATCACGAAAAGACTATTCAAACCATATTGACATTGATGTCGCGCATACAAACCAACAAAATCACTTCACTCGACTCTATCGGTTAACCAAAAAACGCAGCAGAGAAAGAAGATAAAACCAACACATCATTTACAAAATAAGTTGTAGCGACTAGGGAAAACACTACATTGTTGAAAAGGGGACGGACACCCTTTTTTTTGTCTTCAAACCCAAACTCCGGCTGTCAAAAGACACCATAACCACTCCCTCATATCACACTGTATACAGACAACCCACGGACAATGTTCAAAAATCAGGCACACGAAACACTAAAACCGCCATCATCCAATTTTTGAAAGCCTGATATTCAAATGAATTCATCAACAATGAATAGGCACATTGACATAGACAAGATTTACGAATTCATAAGAAGGAAATCGCATAAACAAAAGTAAAAAAATTCAAGTCAAGGAAATAATCAATACGAATAAAAAATAGACTAGAGGATGAGAAAACACAAAATCAACCAATCACGTTCAAGGTTACAAGGAGAGATGATCAATGACACTTGTGGAGAAATTTCAAAAGCTAACTTCAAATAAGAATAAGCGCCAAGGATGTTGCCTAGTAGTAAGGCAATGAAAGCTTTGTAAGTAAACCACCATCCAACTCAAAATGAGGTCATTTTTACGTTGGTAACAGATGAAAAGGAAATATCAAATATTACTGAAATTCTCAAGAAAAATAACTGCCCAAGTAAAGTTCATTATCGAAATCAACACCAACATTAAACAAGGTTGAAAACGTATTCCGAAGACATGGACCATCGTAGTTGTCATATTCTTTATAGATCAGACACGTCAGACAATATCAGAAGAGTACTCAATAGACACAACATCAGAAACACTAAAAAGCAAACTTGTCCATTCAATAAAAGACTGAATTACGAAGGATCCACAATCTGATCGTGTTTATAAAATATAATGTTTAAAACGCGACATATATATATATATATATGTACAGAAAAAACATCGCGAGAAATCGGGATCAGAAGAAATGAACACCATAGAGGCTGTCTCATCCAGGCCACCACCAAGAAATCCAGTTGGACTAGAAAAATCATCAACTATAGTTCTATACACACACACACACTAAAGAATCAGGTCACAAAATTAATTTTGACAATACTCAAATCATCTAGAAAAATTTCAGGAATCACCAAGAACATCTAATATCCTCAGAATCACTTCATGTTTAATGGAATCCAAATTACCTGAATGAGAATGATGGACTAAGACAAAATTCCACCTGGTTCCAGCACCCCCCAGGTGAAGTGGCAAAATTAACACATATACGATAGGCAATTTCGTTAGGTTAACACACTTGGTGTTTCTATAAATTCATACCCTTACCAAATCCAACAATCCACACATACAGCATTGACTTAATTTGGTGGATGGTGACTAGAGCAGTGGTAAAATCCAGGATGCGTATTCCCGCGCCTCCCCCCGTATTTGGGACTTGTCCGCTAGATGCACTCGCACTCCCCAATGGGTGGATAGTAGTGTTCCCACTGACAGCCAAACCCCTCCTAGATTCCAGTGCTAGTTACCATCATCATCCGCCTAATTACTCCAAGTTAATCTTCAGACATCGTCGAAGGATCCACACAAAGAGCTGACATAGCAAAAGAGGCTAAACATCTCAATCCAATCACTCAGTTAATCAGCAGCGGGAAGATCAAAATAGAATATGAAAAAAATAAACAAACTACACATAGTTTTGTTATCTTTATCAATTGACCAACTTGACAACAATGAAATAGTTAATTAATTAATTCACTGTATATGTAAAGCTGAGATTTTGTAAATTCTGGTTTAATATGTTACTACTTTAAAATAAAGCTATTAGCATTAAATAGCAAAACGCCAGTAAAATCAACAATATTATTTCTTTGCTTTTCATTAATTGGGAAATATAAAATCTTTTTTTATGATAAGGAATATCACATACGCAATGCACAATTTTCTTTTCAAACCATTTAAAAGTGAAGTTGATTTATACATACATATATATAAATTATCATTTATATATAACCTAATCGACTAAATGAATAAATTCTAAAGTCGAATAGCAGCAATATTTAATCCAATTTGGACTTAGGCGTTGATTGATTAAACTGAGGTGTGTTTGATATCTATATATCAATAAATCAACTCTTTGTGAGGATGCTTCGATCATGTCTGTGGATTTAACTTGAAGTAACACACAGAGGTCGAACACTTCGATCCAATCCAATCAACGCGAAGGTTCAAACTGAATTAAAAATAATAACTGATACGCATTGCACAGGAAAAGAGGTGGATCATCTTGTGGATAATGCTTTGGCGTTTGAAAAACAATGGATACTGGATTCCAGCCTCAGTAGGAACACCACCACTACCACCACCAGTCACTCATTCACTGGGGAATGCAGGTAGTACATTCAAATGACGAATCCTAAACAGGGCAAAATACGCATCCTGGAATTTCACTACTGCTAATCACCAGCCACCCCCCCCCATCAAATTACTTCGAATAACAATAGCTCTGAACTAATTACACATAGAAACAGAAACACATACACACACAGACATACACAGATGAGCGAATATTAGCAGCACAATGAAATACATGTATATATATACGTAATGTTAAATAATGTATATATTTGCACAAATGAAACAACGCTAGTACTCATCATATATCAAGTGAATAAAATGAGTGCTAAGATATTTTGGTCAGAAGGTGCGCATTCATCATTTATTATTATTTCATAAAGAGTTTTAAATACATACATACATAGATAAAATAACCTGAATGTCAATAAATAGGTTGAAAATCAAACGTTATACATTGATGGATAGATAGGTTTGCGGATGATGACAATGACAGATAGATAGATAGTTGACCCTCACAGCTTTTTTTCTTCCACACATCCTTATTTTAGGTGTGTGCAACAGAGAGTCAGAGAGAAACAGAAAAAAGAGGAGGAGGAGGAGTAATCTCGGTACATTAGTTCTTGTTTCACATTATTACTCTTTATTTTATTTGTCTGTTTCTATGATTACATATATATTTGAAAACTTGCATAGACAGACACATTTTTTCATAGCTTAGCATGTATGCATAAGAAGCACTAATGCAAACTGGAGGAGAAGAGGAAAAGAGATGATAGTACACTGTACAGGATAGATATTACAGGATACATATTATGTATGTATGTATGCATGTGTGTGTGTGAAAAATTCAAATAAATACGACAGTGATCAGAACAGCGACAAAAAACTAAAAATCATACACACACACACATAAAGAGAGAGAGAGGAAGGATAAAATAATAATTATGATACAAAAAAATAAGAGAAATAAAAACAAAAATCAAAGGAATCAAAGTTACCTACACAAACTGGAGCGCACACAACAGCACAGTGATTTAACACACATACACATACACACAAGTTGCATTGAGGGCGGGGAGAGAGAAGGGAAAGGGCGAGACACACACACGGGGAGAAAGGGAGTCACCACAAATAAAAATTAATCAATTATGAACACAGATTAAAAACCCACACAATAAATACTTTTTTTTAAGTATCTTTGTGGAACACAGAAACTTCTCTCTATGAAGATGTTGATTTACGGTGGACGAAGGGATGGCTAGGATGGGTGAATGGTGTATAATCAAACGTTTATCAAAAGGAACAATAATAATAATATTAATGATAATAATAATATTATTAATAGGAAATATAAAGCAGCTGCCTATACAAACGCACATTATACATATATATAATATATAGTATAAAATATAAACAACACTAAGAGAAGGGAAAATCAAAACAATAACAACAATTATTATTATTATTATGAATCGAAATGCTTTTTGTTTCTTCTGGCTGACTAAAAAACAAGTGTGTATGTGTGTGTGCATATATGCTTGTGTGTAGTGATGACGACGACGACGATGATGCAAGTTTGTGCAAATAATGGGAGTAAAACACACAAAACAACACATAAAAGTACGGCATTTTAAAATAAATATTGATAATAATAATTATTATTATTGTGTCAGTAGAGTGTGCAGTAGGCATATATGCGTGTACGTGACGACATAATAATTATCAAATTTCCAAAAGGAGAGAGACTGGGGGGAGGGAGAGGGAGAGAGCGAGAAAAGTAAACAAATGTACATGTAAGATGAATAAATAAATAAATACGAAATAATAAAATTATTATTTATGTACAACACAAAAAATAAAAGATATTATGTATGCATGTGTGTATATATTATGTGTGTATGTGTGGATAGTCAATGAATGGTTGAATAATCATCGTTTTCTCCGACATTGACGTTTATGCTCTTTTTGCCAGTGTTCTTGTTGACATTGTGTACTACAATAAGATGTATTCCAACAACAATGATATATAGCTTCCATATAACAATTACGACACCATTGACGACGTTTTGTTTGGATGATTACTTCAGCAAATCGACTTTCAGCAGCTTCTAGCGTTTCACGAGCAAGTTTACGTTCATGTTCAATAGCTTCACGTGCACTGGCTTGAGCTTGTTCAAGTGCAGCATGTAGGGCAGCAGTTTTCTCTTCTTTAAATTGATTTGTTAACTTTTCTTCAAGTTCTTTCAGTGCTTTTTTAGTTTCATTAGCTGCTGATAAACGTTCAGCTTCACGTTCTTTACATTGTGTACAAGGTTGTTGAGAGGATGTCGGCATCTCCATACTTGCAGGCGTCTACATAAATAAATAAATAAGGATAGGGGAATTTAAGAATAAAAAGCTTATGCAACATACCATTAAAATCCATTATAATAAATTTTTTTTGTATATCCCAATGAATTGACGTTCCGCTATTCAATGCTAATAGCTTTATCAAAGTGTTAAAAACCAGAATTTACAAAATCTCAGCTTATATGTAACAACTTAATGATGATACTTTTGTAGTGCTACAGCGAGATACACAAACTACACTCTTGGAAAAACTAAACAATCCGATTCCCACCATTCAGTTTATTTCGGAAGCAGAATCACACGTTGGTGAACTACTATTTCTAGACTGCGTAGTTAAGAGGAGGGAAAACGGACATTTTAGTTTGTCTGTATTTAGAAAGAAAATCCACTCCAATAAATATTTAGACTTCGGATCATCATACCCGATCAGAGCAAAGGCATCAGTTGTTTTTGGTTTTCTTAGACGAGTGCACTCTCTGATGTTAACGGATGAGGAAAAAAAGGAAAAGAAATATCAAAAATTACCGAAACTCTCAAGCGAAATAACTACCCATAGAACTTCATCAATAATACCAATAATGTAACTAAGTATGATCGAAAACGCATTCTGAAAACACAGGCCCCAACAGTTGTCATTTCATATAGAGCAGAGACGTCAGACGATGTTAGAAGAGTACTCAATAAGCACGGCATCAGAGTTTTCTTCAAAACATCAGACACAGAAAGCAACCTTATCCAATCGTGTCTATTAAATAAAATGCTTGGAATATAATGCGATATACACCGGACAAATATCTCGAGAAATCAAAATCAGAAGAAATGAACACCGTAAAGCCGCCTCTGTTCGACCACCGAGAAACGCGGTTGAACTAGAAAAGCTTGAAAAATCATCAACCAAAGGTCTACACACAAACACACTGAAGAACCAGGCCACAAAATTGATTTTGACAATATTGAAACAATCCAGAAAGATTTCACACATCTAATGTCCTTAGAAGCACTTCATATTAAATGGAATCCAAATCACCTGAATAAGAATGATGGACTAAAAGAGAATGTGACCTGTTTACAACACCTCCCTCCCCCATGAAGTGACAAAATCAATATGAATGTGATAAGCAACTTCATTATGTAAACACACGCACGCTGTTTTCAGAATTTTACACACTTATCAAATCCAACAATCTACACCTGGTTTTGTTATCTTTACCAATTGGCCGATTTGACAACGCAAAAATGACCCCATGCTGAGGAACGATGGTTAAGTTGTTATATATAAACTGAGATTTAGTAAATTCTGGTTTATTTTGATAGCTTTGATAAAGCTATTTAGAAGTACTAAGTGGCGAAACGTCAGTGAAAACAACGACAGTATCGTTTTGTTTTTCATTCATTGGGATATACAAAAAAACTTCATTATAATGAATATCATACACTCAATGCCCGGATATTTCAACCTGTTGAAAGTCAACTTGGTTTCGATATAGGTACCATGAAATCTCCCAAACACAAGTTTGTTAAATAAAAAGGCAGTAATATATATATATATATATATATATATATATATATATATATATATATATATAATTGTCATCTGAATTGGTAACAACCAGTGGTGTCCACTTTCCCCATTTCTGTTTAACTTCATCATAGATATCCTGATGGAAGTATCCTTAACTGAACGTAATGACTTAGGAATCGACTTGTTACCAGGGAATAGTCTTATGGACTTAGAATATGCAGATGACATAGTCTTCTGAACACCTTGAGCAGCAATCTTCGTATGTTTGGCATGCGATTCGCCCCTACAAAATGTAAGATGCTGCCTGCTACAGGACTGGACCACGTCAACTCCTAACTTAGTGATAGGGAGTGAAGTGATAGAACATGTTGTATTAGCACCAACGGACTGATTGGCTATGAAATCTCAGCACGGATCCGAAAAGCTCGAGCTGCTTTCGCTGACCTACACCATCTCTGGCGTAGGCGTGACATCCGACTGGCTATCAACCAAGGGACGTGTGTACTGCTCATCAGTTCGCTCCGTCCTTCTCTATGGCTCTGAAACATGGCCAATACGCGTTGAAGATATGAAAAGGTTGACTGCTTTCGATCATAGATGTCTGCGATCTCTGTCTCACGTTAGGTGGTTTAATAAGGTAAGTAATGTTGACGTTAGGCGTAGAGTGTTGGGCAAACAGGGAAAATCAATCGACGAGGCTATAAAGTTACATAGACTAAGATGGCTAGGTCACGTGCTGCGCATGCCTAACCACCGCCTCCCCCGACGGGCATTGCTAGCTGACATAGGTTCAGGTTGGAAAAGAGCCAGTGGTGGCCAAACAAAAACATGGCCTCATCAATCCATGAAATCCTTGACAGTTAAACTGAGTCGGTCAGGTAGGGAGATGCAGACTCCCGGGTTGGGGTCCTCGGGACTCTAGGAATCAATGGCTGGAGACAATAGGTGACATGGCTCAAAATCGTTGTCAATGGCCGGAGCAGATGTATCGAGTCTCTGTAATCTTTCATATTCCTTTCTACCATTACCCATTCTGTTTCACTCTTATACTCGTCAGACTGTATTGATTCTCTTCACTCATCTTCTTGTCTACCTCTGTGTGCTATTTGGAACGTGGCAACTCGAACTGGTGCACTTCGGTGCCAAGTTCTATGTTGAATCCAGACAGATAGACATTTATAATTAAATTAATAAATCCTCCAGAGAGATACAAAAACATATATATATATATATATATATATATATATATATCAGTGAAGAGGCGTTTCTTTTTTGTGAGGATTTCATTTTCACAAATAAACAATATATATAGAGAGTAACAAGTATATTTATTGGGCGTATTACAATTAGACAGAGATTGGAAACATTGAAATGCAATCATATTGGTGTAGATGATTGTGTATGAAACAAAAATTCACATTTCTTATTTCCGAAATAACTATATGTATTCCGAACAAAGTGTTTATACAGACAGTGTACAGAATACTCCGCGTATTTCATTGTATAATATTTTCTCCTCATCCTTCCAGGATATCCAAGTAAAACTAAAGCAGTCTATGGCATATTATGTAGAGTAATGCTGTCAGATCTGAAGCATAGAGTAATCCCCTTGTAATATTTTGCCTTCGTCTCCAAGACATGTGCATCGGTAGTTTTCAGAAAAGCCAATTGAAAATGTGCCTGGGTACATTTTGCGACTCAACAACATTAAGAATTAGAGAAAATATGATGCATTGTATTGGGTGGAAATTCAGGTAGGTAGCTGCTCAGGCATTCAAACAGACAGCCTATCATTACCTCAACGCAGAAATTCGCACAAAAGTGTATCAACTCGTTCAAGACATACATAAAGGTGGGGAAAATATAGCAAGGAAACTATAATGAACGGAAGTATATATCAGAGAACGAATAATTACACGCCGATTTAAGAGTTCATAGAAAGCGAATGCCTCTGCGCCATTGAGCTTAATTTTGAGGCATGTATCAGCACTAGTCTTCAGAGATTAATATTAAGCATCTTGAAAATTCCAACCAGACAGTTTATATATCTTTATTTGGTTCAAATCAACAGTCAGACACTTTAGAGACTGAGATTCCAAAGTTTGATTTGATAACTCCTACCCTCCTTTACAACATACATCAATGGGGGAGAAAGCAACGGCTTGGCATGGGGAATGCGTTTCTTAGCCATCTTAATTAATTCACCTTCACAAAAGCATCGATTGGCCTTCTCTCGTTAACTAATTCGTGCCGAAATCTTCGTCTTTTTCTGAATGTAATTAGTGCTTTCAAAAAAAAGTTAGCTGTATTACCTATTTGTTCGTGTCTGCTGAACTTTGTGGTGACCTTTCTTTATTAAATCATACTTGTAATCAATTTGCGATTTATAATCATCAAACCAACAGATTATCGCTCTTCAAAATTTCTACTGTGTTAAATTTTGACACACACACACATACTTCTTATTAACTACAGTCATAAATTCAGAAGGTATGATTGTAAAGCTAGATTCACAAATGTTTGTTTTCTACATGAAATATCATACATAATCTGAAACAAAAGCCTTTATGAAACATGTCAAGAGATATGAATCTTCAGTATTAAAAGCGTGTAGAATATCAACAATATTTAAAACCTTTGATAGGTTAATGATGCCTGCATGTGAACTGATTTCACTGATGACAAGAAATTTATACATTCACTGCACCTATTAAAAGTATATATATGTAGCTTGTAAAAGTAATATGTATCCTATAGAAAAAAAAGGCTACAACAATAAACTGGAAAAGCATTCAAAATCTCGAACACCATAAAAAGACGCAATGTAACATCACCCAGCATAATGACCAATACACTGCATATACGCCTTTAGCAGGTTTCAATTGTTACTTGTACTAGACGGCTATACTGATTATTATTATTGTTATTATTATTATTATTACTTAGCTACTAATTCACATGAAACATCAGATTCTAAAAGAAGCTAGATGTAGATGAAGTGCATTAAACTCTACTGTATCCATGAATATCTGGTCAACATCATTGCCCCTTCATACAATAACCTGACTAACAGATGCTACACCTTGAAGTGGTGGTCGAGTTTGCAGCAGCACAGCCATGATCCAAAGGGCCATACACGCAAGTTGGGACCAATATCTGTGCGAGTGGCACTACATACCATAAAAGTCGTTTAGAGAGCGCAAGTTACCATTATAGTAGTGTACGTCGTTTAAACTGTGGGGAAAGGGGGAGGTTAGAAAAGGTCTCCCCCAAAAGAGCGTGCAACCTGATTGAACTTGCAGTAGTCCATAAATAACGGTTAAAGCCTTTATACATAGGCATAAAACTTTAAATGCCTTAAGAAATTCTCCCTAAGCCCTGTTCTTTTTGTTTCCGATATTCTAAGAAATCAGCTACCCTCACATTTCCATTAACAGACAAAGCTTCCATATTCATTGCTCACCTTTCAGTTTATCACAAAATAATACCGGTGTAAACGGTTTAATGAAAGTAAATGAAACTGCACATGGTTTTTGATTTGTTTTTTTACTTTATAAAACAATCAAATTCGACGAGGTATTATCAACTTATCAACGTTGCAAGTACTAATAAGCACGATCTACGCCTTTATTTCCATCAAGACTGTTTTGAATATTTATGTTATTCCTTTGTGTTCCCAAGAGGGTATAAGGCTTCCACCAGACTTAGAGCTACGAAGTACCCCTCTTTACCAGGATTACTGAGAAGGTTGAAGAGTGAGTCGATCGAGAATCGAACCCCTTCCCCGGACCAGTGAACTACCAACGCCTAACCGGGAAGTACTAAACAGCTGTTTCGTCCCACAGTTTGGAATTTGTTTAGCAGTACACATTTACGACCCCACCAGGGATCGAACCCAGACAAAGCTCATCGACTATTCTCAAAGCCACTTGGACCATTAGCATTTAACAAGTTATATAATATTTATTATTATTATTATTACTGAAGCCCTATGTTCCTCTAGGAACTAAAGGATACAATAATAATAATAATAATCACATTTTGGACATTTACACTACTCAAACGATAATAGTGCATGAAGGATTGAGAACTAATAAATAGCGCACAGGAACTAAATGCATGAGGTGACAAAACTTATCCAAAACGTCATAGACATGGAAACGTACTAAAATGAAGTTTAATCACTCTAGAACACACAAAATCCCATCAAAACACACCAGAATATGTTGCTCATTCGGTGAATAGGTTATGAAAACAGTTTCCTAACCCATCTATGCATGAAAATGGGGTTATAAGATTAACTCGGATTCTTTCAAATGTGTATTAATTAAAACACTGCTCACCTGAATGCCTTTATGAACTTGTTTTCTAGGAGGGGATGATAAAGAAATTTCAGGACTTTTAACAGAAGACTGACGCTGGCTTGTTTCACCTGGACTATCACTTACTCCTCCAACAGAATCTCTGTTTAAAGCGGCGGCAGTTGCAGCAGCAGCAGCACGTTTATTCGGTGGCAGATGGGAACGTGGTAAGGTTGACATACCTGGACCACCGACAACATTATTATTACTTGAGCTATTATTATTTGTTGAGGCACCTAGTGATACAAAATTTGAAGCCATATTAGAATTTGCTGAATTATTCGGATGAACTGAACCACTCATCCTATTGGCTGATGATAGACCTGAATTTGTTGAAGAGTTCATTGAAACCATTGAATCATTGCATGGTGAAAAAAGATTTTGACCAGTATGAGAGAATAAATTTCCAGAAGTAGACATGTTATTATTTCGATCATTAACAGCATTTGAACTACTATTCGATCCGGATACATTTAATGGTGGAGCGAATGGTGGTCGACGTAACATTGTACTACTTGCACCAGAAGTTCTATCTCTATGACTTGAACCACTACGTGTTGGACTACGGAATCTACGATCATCAATTTCATCTTCATCATCCATTTTGATAATATGACGTTGTCGTCCACCTTCATCATTATCATCCATATCTGAAGATGAGGCTGAAGAACATGAACTATAATTACTAGAATGAGATGAGCGTCGTTTTGCAGGTGTTCTTTTTGTTGGTGATATTTTGTGAACAGAATCATTAACTCCAGGTTTTCGTGTAGGCGAAATTGGCGTAGTTCCCGGTGTATGATAACTAGTTGAAGAATGATGAGAATGCCATCGATGATTGTTTGAATGCCTTAAATTTTGTGTATCATTTCCAATTGGTGAATCACAACGGTCAGTAAGTTCATCATCTTCATCTCGTACACCACTAAAATTATTATCCATATGTTTAGAATACTTTTTAGAACGTCTACCGCCTGAATTAGTTGTATCTTGAGTTGAACTCTTATTTGGGGTAGTAGTAGTAGTAGTCATACGTCTTTTATGTACACCATCAACACGACTGGAAGAGTTGTTGGCAAATGTTGCAGATTTTGGTCTTCCTCTAGTTGGACTCTAGAAGATAAGGTAAAGACAAATTACCAAAGTGAATGAAGTCAAACTATAAAGTGTAAGAAAACACAGCAAGGCTTATTTCACACAGACAACGATTACTGTACTAGGAACTCGTAGTAATAATACTGATAATATGAATACGACATATATATATACCACGTGCCAGGTGATGCGCAACAGGAAACTCAACGAAGCCGTTAGCATGAAGAAAGGACTAAGTCAAGACTGCTGTCCATTATCACCGATCATATTTCGAATTATGGTGGACTGGATTATGCACCACAATGTGCATAGGAAGTGAGAACATAGGAATACGCTGGAGCGATCACATGACTCTGGAAGATTTAGACTTTACAGATGATTTATGTTAAATGTCACACAAACTCGAAGACTTGCAGGTAGCCAAAAACAAACAAACTGGTTTACACATCTTCTGAACTCAGCATGAACAACAAGATTCGGATTCCATTCAACACCAATGTCAAGTCAGTCACTTCTTCTATATGGGTCAGAAACTTGGTTCTCGCGTCAAGAAAAGCACCTCCAACACGTTCCACACTTTTATCAACAACTGACTTCGCTGACTCCATAGTGAAGACCAAATGGCCAGCCAGCCGGCCGACCAGAAAGAATTAGAAACAAGAGACTCTAGAAACCAACCAATCAAGAGCCATTTGCCTAACAAATATGTAGGAGGAAATCGAGATTGAATGGTCATACACTGAGGAGACCGCCAAATGACGTCGCGCCTAATGCAGGCCATTGCTCGAGTGGGATCCCAGTGGGAAGCGAAGAGTGAGTCGTTGGTGTGAGGGTGACATGGAGGAGATGGTGAGAGTTGGAGATGACAGATTATAAGCAATTGTGGGGCCAGGTGAAGAGGAGAGGAGAGAATAGAACAGAGTGAAGATATGTTGTTGAAGCTCTATTTTTCACTGGGATCCCAAGGGAACAACAATAATATGGTTGGAGGCAATCAGCAGGAAGCCTTGTACTAAATTTTCATACTTGCTGACACGTGACATGCATGCAGGGTGTAGCTTGAGTCTTCTAGGAACTTTCTGAGATCCGAACCTGGGTTCAAAGCTCTCTGGTGATTGTCTCTAACCACTTAATAACAATAATCCAGGGTGCACTACGATGGCAAGCAGTCTAGCATGGTGACGCCACATTGCAGTCTTGACTGATAGAATTCAGTCTGCGCCAAAAGAAGGATTAGACGCATGGCACCATTTAGTACTTAGTGTGCGACCAAAGAGAACAAAATTTATCAAATATGATGCTTTGAGACCAGTTTAATTACACTGAAAGAAAAGGATGGCGAAAGACCTAACTTTAGTCTTATACTCAGCTAGTAACTAGTGTAGGTTAGATTTGAAGTGCTAAACTTAAAGGGATTCTATTAAAATATAATACAACAAATCAAAATTATAGGGAAAAAATCCTATTTACCAATGAATGATACCTGAACCATTACAATACGGAAAAAAGAATTTCTGACAGGTAATGGGAACAAAAATCTTGTTGATACCTTGAAAAAAACACACGAGAAAAATATATCTATCTATCGATTCTTTGGTTGAACGGAAATTAACTTTTAGTCGGTAACTGCAATTCAGATCTCTTAATATGTCCCCTTTGTGACACGGAACTGGACACCACTGGTTGAAGTGTCGACCACTTAACTGTGAAGAAAACGCTTCAAGAGCGGAAGTTTGTGAAAAAAATCACAATTTGTGCTTAGAAAACTAGAGATATAGGAATTTCATCTATGACAGGGAAAATTTAATAACAGAAGACATAATTCTTTTTTGAGAAGAGAAGCTAAACATACATAGCTAGTTTAGTTGGAAATATACTGAAGTGAACTAGCAAGCTGGTTTACTAGGTGAGGTTGAAGGCGTTTCTGTAATTGTGAAGAAACTCATGTCCCTCCCGAGATTCGAACCCGCGTCACTCAGTGCCGCCTTCAGTCAGGGACGTTACCACCGAGCTATTCGGGCTCAATATTAATCCAGCACCCTATTAAATAACCATATAGGGATTAATGTTGTAGATGTTTAGATGGTGCTTGATTTAAACACCGTTGCAGTATAATGCAGCTGTTTGTATGATTGTTCCTTTTCATACTGAAGAATATGCAAGTTTTACTACAGACTACATCATAAATGGATTTTCATCAGTGTGGTGAAATAACAAAAGTTTAGTATTTGAAAACAGGAAAAGTATTTATGAACAGAGTTAAACTCTGAGGAAGTATCACGAGTTGCATATAACCTCACCAAGTTTTATAAGGCAACCTATTAGTAAATGATGCTTTTCAATCCTTGTGACATTGCCAGTATTTAACTACACTGAGTGAACGTCAACATCTCATCGCTTAACGAATTAACACCTTAGAGAGCTGTAGCAAAACCGGGAGTGAGACGCCATGACCGGCAGGGTCCAACAATATGAAAACCAATACACACAGTTACATATGGAAGAACGTATAAAGGACTAAACTATATACCACTTTAACCACACATATATATACGTAATATAGAATGTGCACGCTTTTCAATATATATCGAACTAAACTTGCGCTATTAAAAACACTAGTCACCACGTTAAAAAAACCGACTCATTTAAACATCTTATTGTCTCGAGAGGAAAAAAAGTGTACTACTTACAGGTTTAATAGCATTTGATGAACTAGATTTGGTCCATATATCTGAATTGCCTTCAGCATCTGAACTTCCAGCTGTCGGTGAACACCAATCCGAACGACTCATATCATTATCTGTGGCAAAAACAAGCAGAAAGCAGCATATGAGTCAGCTGTCAATTTAATACACTTGTAAATTGTAAAATTGTCACCTCTGATGGTTAAAGTTAGAAGAAAAATCATTCATTTGTTTATTAACGTTAATGATTATAAGAACAAGGTGGAGCTCATAGTAAAAAAAATGTTTGCCTAAAAAGTAGATATGAATACAAATGCAAGGTGCAAGTCAATATTCAACCACCATACCATGAACAGCTTTTTACCATGAAAACCTAAGCATTAAATTGGAGACGAGACAAGACAAGACAAAGAAATTTAAAGTTCACTAACATACAAGCACTTTTGTAATTTGTAAACCAGAATAAAAATAACTTTAGTGCAACACATGTAAGAGAACAATATTTTGTTTCTATTTATTTAAATCTCATTAAACTTAATTCCAATATGCATAACTTTACAAATAAGTGCAATTAATGGTTTACGAGCTCTCCTAGTAACCGGAATGTTCCAGGATCGAACCCTGGAGGTGGGTCCGCACTGCTTAAAATTTTTAAACTAAAAGGAAACAGCTGTCCTCCAGTACTCCCAGGTTTCCCAAAGGTTCTCCAACCAATGTCAGCTCAGGATGAAGTCCTGTAACTAATCAAATCTCTGCAAATCAACACTAGAAGTATACGGAAAACACTATGCAGGAGACCTAGTCAACGAATTATTTGGACTCCTACGAAGGATAAGCTATATAGTTTTGCCACGTCTACGTATGATTATCGATTCAGGTGTTCCTGCGGAGACAATTATATGTTGCGAGTACTATACACAATCTAACCAACGTGTTACGAAGCGTCTTGCATCGTGGATGGTTTGGCAAAGGACAGACAATAACCATCCAAAGCTGTGTTTCATTATATTTAATTGATAGTGACCGTTTAAAGAAAACAAAGGCATCCACAGTGATTCATCATCAAAGCCCACTGAATCCTTGCACATAGCTGAGGCGATTGACATTCAAAATATTAAGCCTAAATTATGCATTCAAAAGAAGTTTGTACAACCATTATTCCCTCTTTGGCTAATAAAGTCCTAAATAACTGATGTCGCCACCACCCTCTACTTATAGTTTTGATCCCTTTCTTATCACTGCTTAATCATACCACACCTTCGTTAAAACACAGTTTTCTTTACTTCCCTTACAAACTAGTAATACTTAATCTGAATTTTTCGTTTTTATCTACTGTGTCTACCTGGATATTGATTTGTTTAATCATGCCATTTTCGCCACAAACCGCTCCACTTTTTCATGTTATTTAAAGAATTATTACTAATATAATCTATAATAATTTGCTTTATTCCAAAAACACCAACTTAAGGTACAGTGTGGAATTCTCGGCATTTTGTACAATAATATCATCTAATTTACTCAACAATAGCAAAAACAAAAATTAAAAAAAATAATATAACAGGATTGATAATGGCGATTTCTTTGGTATTTGCAGTGACAGTAAAGTCAAAATGTACAAAAAGTGTAAAATAATAAATGATGATAATGTTTAATAGCTAATTTATAAGTTAATTGAAGCAGTACTGTCATAGATTACAAATAGGAGAGAATAAAAGAGTCGATTATCTTGCTAATAACACAATAAGTCGTAGATTTTTCTATCACACAGGACACGGGTAAGATGTAAGAATCAACAAACTGTAAAAGTAGCTGTTGAGCGATACCTACTTGATTCTCTTAACTTCCCCTTAACGTAGTAGATAACACGGAACATTTTCTTAGAAACTGACAAAATATAGAATGATTAATGAAAGCCAGAGGATAGAACTATTCTAAGGTATTTTATGCTTGACTTAGTTCCTAATTTTAGTGCCATAACCATCATGTGAACAAATCAGTTCTCGTAGATGAACTTTATGCCGTAAGGTGAAGTTAACAGTCTGAAATTTAAAAGGAAACAAGTTAAGATCATTTACTACTATCATTATAACTAATTGCCGAATCAATACGCGCGTTCTCATCACTCTACTGACAGATCACCATGACTGGTTTATATTTATAATTGTATTTATTTGTAAATTTATTTATATTAGAGTTGAAGCCTGATGAAATCTAATTGGAAACACAATATTGTTCACTAACATGTGTTATTGCAAATTTTGTTATGTGAATATTTAATATTATAAAAAAATAGCTGCAAACGTGGAAGTCACCGGGGTCGGAGCGGAGGATGTGAATCCTGAACTACTCAATTATCTTTTAGATTTTAGAGTGCTTCCGCCAATGCACCACCACCACCACCACCCAATCTCGACATATATATGAAATATTTGAAGAGACGAAATGCAAGTAGTAATTGTAAGCATGACAGAGGGAGGAACAAAAATGAGAATGAAAGCCACTAGCAATGATCATCTTTCTATTGATGGATAGTATTATTTGTTACGAAAAAATAGCATACAACCTATATGCACACTCACACACACTTGTTTCACAATCGAACTTAATTTTAATATAGAAAACCATTTACGTGTACATACGGACTACTGTTCATTTCGAAATGAAACTGAATTGATTTTACAATATGGGACTTTGTACAAAAATGCAGATTTTTAGATGACTTCTATTAAATTCAGCTGAAGTGTAGTTTAGTGTTACACATTAACTAGGAGAGAACGGACAATACTACTTAGTTAACGGGTCAAGTCCAGATACAGTCAACTAGAGAAGATTTGTAGCTCACTACTTCTTTACTAGTTGCAAATACAATCAATGCGTCGGTGGCACAGTGGTTAGGACTCTCGCCGACCATGCACATGGTCCGGGGTTCGAGCCCACGCCGACGCACACCTGATATCTATGGTTGGCCTGCGAATTTTGGGCTACCGATATCCACGCTGAAAATTCCACACTTGTACCGAAAATACAGTGTGGAATCAAGCTGTAATCAAAAAAAAAAAAACTAACTGATATTCAAACTAGTTTGGTTTGTAACAGTTAGTTATGTTTTTACGAGTTGATCATGGATTGATATCAATTAGAGAACCATTGAAAACCAGGGAGTTCTGGACAGCTGCTGTTTTATCCTAGTTTGGGAATCATTGTAAAAATATAACTAACCCTTACAAACCAAACTATAGAAAATTAATCTGATGCTCGCTGGTGACTTGCTACAGGTTGGAGTTTCCTGCAGTTCTAGTGAGAAGTCGTCACCAGTGAGGTCCAATTAGATATCACGTGTGTGCATGGATGTCCCACCAACGACAATGGTTGGAGTCGCGATAAATCACGAATTGGTAGAAGTTAGTATTCATGCACTGGCCATTGAATCGGGTCCCAGTGGCTGAATGGTATACGAGCTAGCTTGCCTTGCAACCGGAAGGTCCTGGGTTCGAACTCTGGTGGTGGGTGTGTACTTCCGATGATTCCCAAACTAGGATGAAACAGCAGCTGTCCAGTACTCCCTGGTTTTCAATGGTTCTCTAACTGATGTCAATCCGTGATCAACTCGTAAAAATTCAAACTAGCGAAAAACTGCCTGGCAATGGAGTCTCATATAGCATTTTGTATTAGTGAAACGATCTAAGTAGAAAAAACTTTTGGTGAAGGGACTGTTTAACAGTTAAATTTTTTCTTCTTTCTTTTGGTTTAGCCAAAAGTAGTTGGAAGGAAACGAAAACACTGAAATTAGTTATATATATATATATATATATATATATATATATACAAAGGATTAGAATACGTAACGAGCTTTGATTATTTTTGTGTGCTATGTAACTTCTGCAATGTTCAACCTTCATTATTTCACATGCCTCGATAAACTTGCTAGCAGATGACTCATTATAGACATCATGATTAATGACATACATTCATAGGAAATCCAGGGGCTGAAATTTTTTTGTTATGTATATGGACATGATTACGGTAATTAACTATCCGCGCCTAGTCTGATGCTTGCTGTTTTAGCTTTTCCATGTTGTGTGGGATTCTGCTTTTTTGTTGATGAAATCAAAAGCTACTAACAATTACCAAGCTTATCCAAATGTTTATCAGTATCCACACAACCAGTCTCTGTAATGAGTCTAAATAGTTGACAAATAATCGTTACCCAATAGTGTTTGCAATATCGTTATATGGACTATTCGGTCAGCTTACTTTAATGCAAATGACTGGTGTGCAGTCTTCTTTAAGTGGTACTCCATCATTCAAATTACTCTCACTATATGGTGTGTGCTAGGTTGAGTGAGTCAGTAGGACGTGAGATTTAATCCGAGTTGTGGGTTCGTGCCCGCATGGATGACTCAATGATAGCCAGACAAGTGGTCAAGATTTGATTCCCGATCGATGCATCTTTCAAATACGCGTAGTTCACTTCCCATAGCAAGCCAAGAATGATGGAAAAGTTGGGTGTAAGGCTTGCAAACCCACCACCTTGTGAAAGCAGCACCGCTACTGAAGCTTCAAAAACAAAGCTTGAAGCAGAATATTACACTTAGAAGACGGGGATAAAAATTGGTAAGGCTTTTATCTTCTGCATAGGCTCACTACTACTGTTAATACTGATGAGATCGCGGTAAACTGTATTACAAATAAGATAAACTTACTAGATTTGATACGGCCTCTGGATTTGGGAGGACGCCCGCGACGTGGCTTTTCAGATTTCTTAATTTTCCAATCAGGAGATTGCTGAAGTTAGAAAATAGGGTGGAATTTAATTTTGGACATTATATAAAAGAAAGTCCTATGAACAATGCCATAACCTGCATTAAACTACAACTCCAATTAATACTGAGGGAAATAATTAAAACCGAAAACTGATCTTCCGCTTGAAATGTCTCATGTGGTCACGCGTTCATAACCTATGCTAGGTAAATCCTATTTACTTCTCTCAGGAGACTGAGTCCTGCTTACATGAATGCGAATGTTTGCTGCTCATTACAGGACTGGCAGACATAGAAGACCAACTAAGGGAGCAGGAAAACCCTGATTTTGATCCTACGGTGCACATGGACCTGTTTTGATCACCGGCAATCATGGGAAGGCAGCGTCTGAAGTTGCTCTGTGGTCTTGTAAATCACAAGTCAAGTCTTTTAAGATAACCACCTACTTCATGGCTGCATCTCAGTCCTCATAAGGAAAACGTATGGTGATTTTCTTGTACCAAGTATGTGTTGCAAATAAATTAACAGATATATACAGAAACGTTGCCATAACACAGTTACAGTTTCGCTGTTGTTCTCAAGCAGAATTAGCCTCAGTGAAAGGAATACATTAACAATTTAAAAGTCAAAACGAAATATTTTTGCCAATAGTGTAACGATGATGCTACAAAGTACTCACTACACAAGACATAAATATATCAAACAAATTAGGCTTAGTACTAGTCAGAAACATATAAGAACCGTTTGAAAAAGTAGTAAAAATACCACTTACATTTGAGCGCCAATTATTTTCAGGACCATTATTTACGGAGTGAGGGGGGTCTTCTGCTTCCGACAAAGAGCCTGATGATACAGATGAAGACGGGCTCACTGAAGAACGTGGTGATGAAGAAGAACTTTGATACTTGCGTCGCCTGATAGGTCTTCCTTTATTATCTCGAAGTGGAGGTCTTCCCCTACCGCGCTGACCTCGTAAATTAGTACTTAAATGATTCTCTCTTGACGGTTTTCTGTAAGGTTTATCATGTTCACGATGAGTTAAAGACAAAAGATCGGCAGTAAATGAACTCGCTGGTCTACGTGTAGATCCGACTGCAGCAGCCATAGCTGCCTTTGTTTCCGCTAGTGCCGATATTGCTGCAGCGCCGGGAGTACCAGGCTGAACAGCTGGCATTGGAAGACGATTAGTCGCTGACCTTTTATCAGTAGGACCCGTATGCGAATTTACGGAAGGACCATGAGTTCTGAAGCGTTTACCACCTGAACGTGGACAAGGTGAGTCATCATGAGTGTTTGAATCACCAGTAGGCGTTTCACTACTGGTTGATTGTTGGCTGCTTGAAGACGTATGACGCCTGTAAACAAAATCACAAACACACAATTACAGGTGTTAAAACCAACTAGTCAACACTAAAAATTTTGCTGGTATAGAAATGCCTAGAAATACCAATTGGTGAAGTGATAGTGAACACGCATGACAGAAACTCCCGATAACTGATTGATACGTATAACTCATTTTTCACGCTTCGCTTATTAGTGAATAAATGGGAATTAATCATCATCTGAAGAATGCAAAGACCACTTTCAGTTAACATTTAGTAGTTCAGACTCCATGTGATTCAACCACTACTAGGTGGACAAAATAGAGAGTAAACATAAGGCCGTGGATGTTGCAAAATGAATACAGGATACATCCACAATAGAATTATTTCATTTGATACACCACACAGTGATATAGTATTACTTATTTACTGATGGATAAGGGTTGCATTCAAGTTAAAGGACATTAGGGGTGTGTCTACAGCACAAAACAATGATAATCAGTGAAATCTCAATCATATAATAAGGAGCAACTGTTAGTTATACTACTAAAAAAAAACCAAAGTCAACAGTTGCAGATACTATGGAGAGTGAAGTGGGATTGACAGCAACGATGCAGATCCACTCATAAGCTACCTTGGCCTAGCCCAAGTTGTAACGCAAAAATTTTTTATACCCTTTAAACTCTTTTATTAGACATTATTTGTACTTATGTAATTCCTCTTATCATTTTTTTCTTAAATGCACTGGGTCCTGTAAGCGAAAACTTAAACTATTACTGAGGATATCCAGATTTTATACGGATGCTATTGGTTTGCTAGCATACATTTACAGTGTATATTCTCGCGTTTGACTCAACAAAGTTATGGGACAATACAACTCATTAGTAGGAAGATGTATTGACCACTTCAGGTTGCAACAACCAACGCCAAAGGGTTCATCGCTGACGAAATCTCATCACGGATACACAAGGCTCGTTAGACATATGAAAACTTGCGTCATCTCTGACATGATATCTGGCTGTCGATCAAAAAGCATATGTACTGCTTAGCATTTCGCTCTGTCTTTCATGGCTGTCAGTGAGACATGACTAGCTGTCTTTGATCATAGGTGTCTGGGTTATATCTCTCGTGTTAAATGGTATAATAGGGTGAGTATTATTAAAGTTAGGCATATATCGAGTGCTAGATGAGCAGAGGAAATTAATCAACGAGGTTATGAAGCAGCTGCATCGATTAAGATGGCTAGAACATGTGTTGCGTATGCTTAGCCATCACCTTCGACGGACGATGTTAGCTGACATAGCATCAATCAGGTCTGAAGAGAGCTAGTGGTGGTCAAACCAAACCATGGCCTCATCAGTCAATGAAATCCACAACAGTTAGTTTAAGCCAGCCAGCCAGCCAGTCACGTAGGAAAGTGTAAACTTCCTGACTGACTGGTTGGGGTCCTCAGGTTGGTAAAAACTAATCAAGGCTGGACTGGAAACAAATGGTGATATCACTCAAAGTCGTTCTCAATGTCTGACACAGATGCATTCGCTCTTTGTGATTTATAATATCCAATAAAATCCTATTTTTCTTCCATAATACTATCCTTTTTCCCTTACATTTCTGTTTATTATCTCTCTTGTTTGAATGTCGCTTTACCCTCCTCTCTTGCTTTGTATGCTACATAGAGTGTGGCAATTGGAACTGCTGAACATTTGTGAAAGTTCTAAGTTGAATCCAGTCAGTCAGTCGAAACTAATTAGTCAATAAGTCTCAGCGGAGAAAAGAATCATAGAATGAATAAATGCCTACGGGAACCCTGACAACTTACAAAATCTTAATGTTTACGCTCTATGAAATTTATCTACACATGAAATAAATAATAACAATAATAATAAATAAGCGTCGGTGGCACAGTGGTTAGGACGCTCGCCGACCATGCATATGGTCTGGGGTTCGATCCCCGGCCGACGAACTCCTTTACCTCGCTAAGCCAGAAATAATGCTGGTAAAGAGGAAAGGTTGGGCGGGAGATTAACAACCCCATCCTGTAAAAAACAAACACTGCTACAGAAACTTCAAGCCACTAGCTTGAAGCCCTATGTTCCATTGGGAATGTGAAGGAAAAATTATTTATTTATTATGAAATAAATACATTACCTTCTTTTATTTCCTTTTCTGTTGCCTGCTGTTAAAGAAGATCGTGGACTATCTGGACGATGTGAACGTTGGTTTTGACTAATGATTTTACGTCGTGGACCGAGATACATTTCATCTGAATAGTCATCATCTGATGGTGGGAGGTCACTTTCACCAGAAGAATGGGTATAATATCCACTATCAATATTGGCTTGTAGCTTACTAACTTCATTCCATGCCCGTTCAAATCCTCCACCTGAAACACCACCTGCGGTACTCGACCGACGAAGCACACCAACTTCATCAGCAGGTAGATGAAAAGCACGTGTATGCATCTTTTTGACAAACATTCGTTCATGTGATCCACCGAAGAAACGTATCTAAGATGAACAGATATCACATAAAGTTGTTTCTGAAATGTTATCCAGCAGAAAATGCATTCAGTATGACAGAAAGATCGAATAACGAGAAATAGTTTATAGAAGACGACGAGGTGTGTCTTATCTACACTTGAAAGACATTCAATTTTAGGATATCACTACATGGCTTCAATAATGTAGTGAAGCATGAGTGAAACCTTAATTTGTAAAAATTATCCACATCATTAGAGGACATAGAGAGAGAGAGAGAGTTGTAAGAGATAACACCAACCTCAGCTAGTTTTCTAGCTGATGCCAAGCCTAGGAAAAGAGGGAGCGTTGGACGTGGAGCTAGCGACCGTACCTCAAAAAAACATTCCAACTACTACAGAAACTTTACCGCACAATAAAATTATTTTTAAAAAACTTAAGAAACTTATTCTTCGTTCGAATTGGAGAGGCGAAATGACACAACGGGTTGGTAAAAGCCTTCGAGAAGCCAGTCAGCCGATTTGTTTTTCGATGAAAGCTAAAATAAGAATGGGGACGTGGACTGCCTGTTCAATGTACGAGACTGGGAAGGCAACCTAGGTAGCCAAAGGAGTGAAAAGATATGGCATAGAAGTGCTTGGAATCTGCGAGGACAGATGAAATGGATGTGGACTATCGACATTGACAAGTGGAGAGTCAGTAATCTACTCCGGTCCGTTCACCCAGACGCCAACCACGAGAGCAGTGAAGCGGTGAGTGGCTATTATGACGTCACCAATAGCAACCAATGTGATGGGAACCAATCACCAGGATCATGACAGCAAGATTCAACTCAAAAGGAAGGAAGATTACAAGTATCCAGTACTACGCGCCTATAAACAACTCGTAACAAAAGAAAAAAAATTTCTATGGACAACATCCTAAATGGAAACATTAAAATCCTTATGGGCGACATGAATGCCAAACTGGAAGCAGACAATACGGAAAAAGAACTCATCATGGATCGAGAGGCTCTGGGCGAAATGAATGACCATGGAGAACCTTTCGCAGACCTTTGTGCCCCAATGATTTGGTGATCGTAGGCAGTGTGCAAACACAAGAATATATCGAAGCAACACCTGATGGACACACCACAAACTTCATCTCGATGCTGATCAAGAAAGTGAAGACCCAGCCTGCTGATACAAAGTCGAGAAGGGGAGCAGATGTGGGGTTAGACCATTAACTAGTACAAAAAACCTTCAAGGTTAAGCTGAAAGTCCTCAAAACAACTGGAAACAGATCACAATTCATGTTTAACACTCGGAAACTGAAAAACGAACCTACAAAGATAAATATACTGCAGTCATCAGAACAAAGTCTGACACTGTGTAGCATCACTGAGTAAACTTGAAGGAGAACACTGGAACTCTGTGAAGGTGATGTTCGAGGAAAAGTGTACAATCGTTTTAGGAAGGAAGAGGCAAAACAAGGAACGACTTCCAACAGACACCCGGAAGCTAATAAAAGAGACGATGGAGAAAAAGAATAAGCACCAATGCTACGATGGGCCGAGTTCAGTGCACATCGCGCTGAATGGAGAAGTGAAGAGGAGTGCTAGGAAAGACAAAAGACTATTCTACGACAAACTGGCTGCTGACTAAAGCAGAACAGGCCGCAGGTAAAAGACCCCAGAATACTACATCAGATACCCAGGTCTCTATCCGGGAAGAGATTAACTCAGATAACGAAACCAATAAAAGATGCTCAGGGGGGCATGATTACCAGGGAGAAGAAACAAATCAAACAATGGGTTGATCATTTTAAAGAACCTTGGGATCGACCATCACCTGCTACTCACCCATAAATACAATCACCACCAACGGCATGCATAAAACTGCCTGCCAGTGGACACCAATCCTTCAACGATAACAGAAATTCTGAACTCTATCAAGCTACTGATTGGTGGCCGGCAAGGCAGCAGGGCCAGACGAAATCCCCCCCCCCCCAAAGCACTGAAGACGGACACAGAGACTTCACCAGATGTACTAACGCCATTTTTGCAAAAGCTTTGGAAGGGAGAAATGGCACCACCTACTGACTGGAAGAAAGGGACCTGTCAAACTACCGGAGAAGGGCGACTTGCGCCTATGCAAGAACTAGCGTGGAATAATGCTCTTGTCCACGCCAAGTAAAACAATCTTCCTGTGGAGAATGAAGGATGCACTGGATACAGAGCTCCAACACCCACTGGAACAAGCTGGATTCAGCAGAGGCAAATCATGTGCTGATCAAATTGCAATTTTACGGATCATCACCTAACAAAGAATAGATTGGCGGTCAAATCTCCACCTCAACTTCATCGACTTCGAAAAAGCCTTCGACAGCGTTGATCACGAAGCAATTCGAAAACTTCTTCAACACTACGGCGTGCAGTGCCAAAATCTTTATCAACCTCATGGCTGTGACAATCCCACGTGTCAGGTGATCCACAACAGGAAACTCAACGAAGCCGTTAGCATGAAGAAAGGACTAAGTCAAGACTGCTGTCCATTATCACCGATCATATTTCGAATTATGGTGGACTGGATTATGCACCACAATGTGCATAGGAAGTGAGAACATAGGAATACGCTGGAGCGATCACATGACTCTGGAAGATTTAGACTTTACAGATGATTTATGTTAAATGTCACACAAACTCGAAGACTTGCAGGTAGCCAAAAACAAACAAACTGGTTTACACATCTTCTGAACTCAGCATGAACAACAAGATTCGGATTCCATTCAACACCAATGTCAAGTCAGTCACTTCTTCTATATGGGTCAGAAACTTGGTTCTCGCGTCAAGAAAAGCACCTCCAACACGTTCCACACTTTTATCAACAACTGACTTCGCTGACTCCATAGTGAAGACCAAATGGCCAGCCAGCCGGCCGACCAGAAAGAATTAGAAACAAGAGACTCTGGAAACCAACCAATCAAGAGCCATTTGCCTAACAAATATGTAGGAGGAAATTGAGATTGAATGGTCATACACTGAGGAGACCGCCGAATGACATCACGTGACAGACAATTGCTCGAGTGGGATCCCAGTGGGAAGCGAAGAGTGAGTCGTTGGTGTGAGGGTGACATGGAGGAGATGGTGAGAGTTGGAGATGACAGATTATAAGCAATTGTGGGGCCAGGTGAAGAGGAGAGGAGAGAATAGAACAGGGTGAAGATATGTTGTTGAAGCCCTATTTTTCACTCGGAACCCAAGGGAACAATAATATTTAAAAGGCGGTATCATTATTTTCTGACAACAGATACGCACTTTTCAGAAATTTCCTTGGATTTAAATAGAGTCAATCTCCACAAAGCTAACTTCCGTGATACAGATTACTACTTGCTCCATACGGAGCGTAAAATACCGCAGAGCACTGTATATAACGAGATAAGTGAAATGGACTTGAGAAATAAGCGCTAAGATCACATTGACACGATGAAAGGCACTAAATAACGTCAAATTTTTCGGTAACAAGGAAAGTGGTACACGTTTGAGCCACACCCGGAACAAAAAAATAACACTGAAAAGCTTCAGTAGGTAACTCACCTCATATCCATCATCACGCTCTAACAAAACTTTGGCTGGCCAGTAGAACTGTGCAACTGAGGAATCATTGAATAAACCAGCACCAGCTGACGTGCGATTGCGTGCCCATATTAATTCGTGACGTGGTTTACAGGGTTTACTTATCCAGTCTGTAACTCGCGCCTTCGCATTAATGTAACAATCAGTACATAGTTGAATTTCATTTAATTCCGTATTTACAGAACGAAAGAAAAACCGGATTTCATCCGCTTGATTACTATAAGGACCATGCAGGATGCAGACATCATGTACAAGCAACTGTACATCCATAGAAAACTCTTCCAAGGCAGCATAACGACCATCTTTTATTTTACGTTGCAATAACTCCAGATCAGTGTACTTGTATACAAGATATTCGTTTTTTGTTATCTCACCTGCATAACCAACCTGAAGAAATGTCTTCCACAATGGTTGTTTTCTTAGATGATGTGTCGCAAATTCCAACAGTTTTCTTATTTGTTTACGGGAAAATTCACATTTCGGTCTAGACTCGCAAACAGGACAGGTAAAATTGTTGTCTTGACCATCATGAAGGGTGGGTGAACGCATAGACCTCCTAGAAGGGCTGCTGGGACCAGTAGCTTCTTGAACACAGTCAGCATGATATACACGGAAGCAGTCGAGACAGCGTAGCACTTCACCAGGCCGATGACATTGGAAGCAATACCAGTCATGCTTTCCTCTCGGGAATGGTTTTGTAAAATCAGGAAGTTGATAGCGTACCATACCATTTTTCCCAAAAGGAGGTTCAATTTTTTCAATTAGTCCATCGCCCTCGATTTCATCAAGTAATAGTCTAATCTGATCATCCTTTAAATTTAGTGTTTTTCGAAGGGTTTTGTTTATTTTATCAGCTGGTACTGCTGGTCTATTAGACTTGACTACGCTGAGAGCATCCCATACCTGGCGCACTTTTAGTGGATCAGCGTGTCGATAGCTCCTAAGTTTGACATAATCCATTTTGAAGTCAGTTCATTTTCTGAAACAAAAAAGTCTTTGATATGATAAGCTTAGAGAGGAAAAACGCAACTAAATCACGAGAAACAAAGATGACTAACAAGCATGGAAAAACGATGAGTAAACTGATGCTGATAAAATTTATCAACAATACGATTTCTCGGAATAAACAGTAGGGTGTTTGTTTTTCCTTATAAGAAAAAAGGAACACGAAGGAAGAATACAGTGGGACGACTTGGTCATTATTAAAAGTATGTGCGATTCCTCTACGCATGAGCTTGTATATGACTGCCAAATCCAACATCTTCAGAGTTTTTCGCTTTGTGGAGTATGTTTTGACACTAGGGAGTATCGTACTAAAACAAGTGGTTAACATCCTTTTTGCAGGTTTTCCCATGTTAATCTGATGCGAATTATGATGGCGGAAGCTTACTAGCAGTGGGGACTTCAACGGATGTTTTTATTGAGGTGTTTACATATTCTTCTTCAATGAATTTCACAACTCTGAGTAACGGTCAGAAACATACTCCGAAAGTGGAGAAAAATGAAGTAGGATCTAAATGGTGAACGAGGGCTGAGATAGCAAGAGTTATTGTTACGAATGGTGACAGTGGAGGCTATTGCATCTTAAACGTTACCTTATCAGGGCAGTATTCTATCACTACTCCGTTCACCAGACTCAATAAACATTAAAGAAACAGTAAAAACAAGGTATGCAGACAGGTGCATCGTGATGCAGCTAGGGTTTGAGACTGCGATCATCTCGTAGAGCATTCAGATATTAGGATAAGTTTAAAACACTGTACTATACCTATATAGGTCACCTTAGAAACATTGTCACAAGACCCCAATTCATTTGTCATGAAAAAAGTCGATACACTGGAACTAGTCTGAAGAACATAAACTAGCGACAAGATATGTCCACACTTCATACGAAGACAACCGACGAAATACAACTTCAAGTTGCCTCATAGCAATCTGACTTTCTAGTGTTGTACAGAGGATTAGAAACTGAATGTTGGCTAACTAAATCACCTCAAGACCAATTACTATAGTGACCTAAGGAAGGACCCATAAGTGGTAGTGAAGTAATCAGATGACGCAGAACAATTTCATCTACCTAACAATCCAAAACTCAAATTTGGTTGGCAAACAAGTAGCAGCATTTTTTTAAAAAGGATTAAAAACAACTATTGAATTTTCAAGGATTCTCCATTAGGTAACACTCCACTTTATGTTTTTTGTTCTGGACAATACAGAAGTTCAACAAACTATCACATATTTAAAACTGCTGACGAATTAGCATGTAAAGAAAAGCCTGAGTTGGTCGGTGAGGGGATATTAATGCAAGGAAGTAGGGAACACGGGTCGTAGTTGTATGTATTCAACAAGAAACCTGCGAGCACACCACGGAGAAGGAAATGTTATAACCTCAATTATGAACGAAAACTGGCCCACAAGTTATACATTTACATCTAATTCATTGTGTTTAGATTAGCCCGCTCATTTGCATTGATAGTAACTGCCGGAGTGAAAAAATGCTTCCTTGATAGCTAAGTTTCCTTTATATAACACAGTGACACAGTATTAGTGATTGAATAACATTTTGAGTACAATATACTGCTCATAATCATATCAGTGCCCAGGTTGTACACTTACATGAAGTAGTTTTGCTATGTAAGTTAGATGAAGTCAGAAGTGACGCTTATTAAGAATTATCAAAAGTCTTTGGGGTTTGTGAGTGATGAACAATAAAATCCAATCCGTATGAATACCGTAATCTGCAGTTGACGACCACAGACCATTGTCGCCCCCAATGACAGGCTACACCCATTTCTCTTTTATTCTATCTTTACTGTCTCCCAAATGTTACGGAAAAACTAGGCGAGATAGCTTAAACAATCACACAGAAATGCAACGCCCCACATCGTACAAGTGCTATTTTACTCTAAAGAATGCAAGACCTAGTGTGGAAATGTCATACAGACAGCAATTCGTGTATCCTTTATATTGCCGCTACTTTGTGGAATAGTTATGACAGTCTTAATACTGTCAATAAGCAAAGTGACAAACAGTCAAAAAGTCATTGGCTTACTCTCAAATAAAGTCAACAGGATATAATGCCCACTACTCTAACCCGTTGTGATACCATACAAAACTATTACTACAACACTATATCCCTATTTGGTGAACGTACACATTTCAGCTAAGGCGAAATAAGCGACCAAGGTACATACCAATTTAAATAACTACAGGTTTACAACTTCTGATTCATGGTAAAACCTCAATAACTGGTAGTGTGTTATCTTAAATATTGTCACCAACCTAGTAACTTATCAGTGATTTATAACAGGTAGTGGAGGTAATCTAAAGCAACTGTACAAAATCTGGTACCAGAAGGTGCAAGGTTTATTGCCACAAACAGATAAATGTCTCACTCGGACAACCAAACAACGGAATGGAACAAAATTGTCGACTGCAACTAACCAACTCAATTGTTCCCCAACTACGACGTACAGAGACAAGGCGCAAACACTTATATCTTGCTACCTGAATTTCCTGTTAAATTAGAAAACGTTAAGCTAGCAAATTAGTCCACAAAGTAGGAAAAGAGGAAGAAAAGACGGGAGGTCCATATAAATCAACTTACGTATACGGTGGAGCTGCCATTATAAAGAGATCGTTTTAAACAAAAAAGATGTCACTTCAAATTTATTGGTGGATATATTCACAAAATCAATAAAATTATGTTATAAAAAGTTTTTTATACTTTAGTGATGATATTAATAATTAGTGGCGCGCGATATAAGAGAGCGTTCTGAGTTCGGTGAGTACTGCTGCGAACACAAATTTTCGCAGTTGGTTGTTGTAGTTCGATAAGACCTTTCGAATTTATCTTTAGATTCGTTACAATAGTTATAAACTGAAATAAGCCGTATATAGTCTTTATCGTGCCTATACAGGCTACATTGATCTAAGATGCTCTTATTTTCCGACAAAATACGTATCTGTGACCACCTAGATTTTGTTCTTCAGAACATCGATCAGAGGAGATCTTATCACTAGTTCTAATAATAATGTGTCAGTTAAAGAATACCTTGAGAGATATCATGAGTTCTACGTAGTTTATGGAACCCAACATATATATCTAATGAGTTATGTTAATGAAGTGTGTGTCGGATTCATATGATAACGACAGTAGGCTCTTGTGACCTGTGTTAATCCTTCCAAAATATATCTCTGCAGAGATCTAACTTCCCTCTGAAAATGTTCACCGATGGAGCTGATACTACAGAATCAGGTAAGGGGTTCCAGTCGTTGACCACTCTGTGAGAGAATCGAAATTCCGCATGTATTTTATTTCACTTCGGTTTGAGCACCTTTGGTCGGTGACCTCGTGAATGTACCCTAGAAGGGAAGAGAAGGTTAGAAAGGTCAGTTCCTAAATCACCCTTAAATGTACGAAATGCTAAAATTACCTCCCCTCTCTTCCTTCGGTATGATAATGGGAAGAGATTTAAATTCTCCATCCTCATATCACAAGGAAAGTGTGAGATATCACTAACTCGTTTGGTTCCTACCCTTTGTACTCTTTCAAAGATATGTCCCCTCTTCTTGTAGCATGGACTCATTATTATTTATTGTTGTTCCCTCGGGTTCCTAGTGGAACATAAGGCTTCAACTGCACGTCTACACTTGCCACTTCTGCTGTACTTTTCACCTGCATCCATGTTAGTCCATGCTGTTTCAACTCCACTCCACACGATCTCCTCCATGTCACCCTTGCACTGACATCCCACTCGCCTCTTCCCTTTCGGCCTGGTTCCACTCGAGCAATGGCCTGAAGCGCGCGATGTCACCCAGCGACCTCCTCAGCGAGTGTCCAATCCATCTCCATTCACTTTCTCCTGCATATTTGTTGGCTAGCGATTGGTTCTTGTTTTGTTTGTTCCCATAGTTTCTTGTTGGTGATTCTTTCTGGCCCGGCCATCTGATCTTCACTATAGATCCAGCGAAGACAGTTGTTGATAAAGGTCTGGTCTGCAATAGCCTGTTGGAAATATTCTTTGTGACCCGCCCACCAAGTTTCTGATCCGTATAGGAGAAGTGACTGACTTGACGTTGTTTGTATTGAAAATCCGACTGGATTTTGTTGTTGATGTTGGCTGAGTGACGAAGATTTCCAGATTGATTGTTTCAGGTTGATGAATGTGTTTCTAGCCTTCCCGATTCTCGCTCGATTTGACATCCTCATCCGTTCCGACTGGTTTTAGTTGAGGCAATGCTCACTGCTAGATAAGTGAATGAAGTGACCTCTTTCAAATCCCTCCGGTTGATGGTGATTCGCGCTTGATGTTGTTGTTCGTTGGTTATTTTCATAACCTCCGTCTTGTCTATGTTCACCTGGAGTCCTGTCTTCACTGTCTGCTTCTTCGACCATTGTGTCGGTTTCCGCTTGTAAGTCCTCGATTTTGTGTGACGTAAAACATAAATCATCCACGCGTGAAATTCAGGTCTTCAAGGTTCTTCACGTCCGTCCAGGATATTCCTGTCTTCTCGTTGCCCACTGTCTGACACATAATCCAGTCCATCACAATTAGGAATATGATTGGTGATAATAAGCACCCTTGTCTGACTCCTGTGTTTACTCCAAACGCCTCGCTGATTTTTCCGTTGTGGATGACTTGACATGTGCCACCGTTGTCGTACAGCTGTTGAATAAGGTTGAATATTTGGGGTACGCCGTAGTACTTGAGTACTTTCCAAATTACTTCACGGTCAACGCTTTCGAAGGCCTTCTCGAAGTCTATAAAGTTGAGGTAGAAGTTTGATTGCCATTCCATGCTTTGTTCTATAATGATGATCCGTAGAGTTGCAATTTGGTCAGAACATGATTTGCCTTTCCTGAATCCAGCTTGTTCTGGTTGGAGTTCTGTATCCAGTGCGTCCTTTATTCTCTCCAGGATGATGCGACTCAGGATTTTACTTGGCGTCGATAGAAGCATGATTCCTCGCCAGTTCTTGCAGAGTCTTAAGTCGCCCTTCTTTGGTAGTTTCGCGAGGTAACCTTTCCTCCAGTCAGTAGGCACCTTTCCCTCCTCCCAGACCTTATGCAATAATGGAGTCAGCATATCTGCTGTCGTCTCTGGGTCCGCTTTCAGTGCTTCAGGGGATATTCCATCTGGATGGACTGATTGCTTGTATGCAATATTCAAGATGAGGCATGACATGTTGCATAGAGTATTTTGAACATAGACTCATCTAATTGTTAGAAAGCTCTTCATTCGAAAAGCCTTAGCTGCCGCTACATTGAAATTTGCAGTTGTTTTTAAATCATTACTGAGTGATTCTTAGGTCCTTCTGTCCGTTAACATCAGGCAGTTCTGTATCCCCTAGGGAGTGCGACGTATAAAACTTCTGACCTAAGTGCATAACGCGCTTTTCCTAGAATTAATTTCCAAATCCCACAAGTCCGACCACTCAGCTAATATATCTATATCAGTTTGTAGGGCCGACCTATCCTCGTTACTATTTACAGTTTTCCAGATCTTAATGTCATCCGCAAATAATAGTGAAGTAAGAATCCCCGGTAGTTCATTGACGTATAATTGGACTAGCAAGGAGCCTAATACAGTTCCCTAAGACACTTCACTGGGTACTGCTTTCCACTCTGATAGTACACCGTTAACTCTAACCTTCTGTCTTCTATCCATTAGGTAATTCCTAAACCACTCACATAGGCTTTGGTCTAGTCTACTAAAAAGACCTAAGCGGGATATTTTATCGAATGCCTTACGAAGATTGATAAAAAACACATCCAAAAGAAATTTTTTTACCTTTGGCCTCAACTTAGTCTTCCCTAGCCAATAGTAGGTTTGTCAGGCAGGATCGTCCTGGTCGGAATCCATGCTGTCCCACCGCCAGCAAGTCATATTTTTCAACATGAGCTGATAGCTGATTCTTTATAATTGTTTCCAATACCTTTGCTATAACGCATGTCAGACTTACCGGCCGATAGTTAAATACCAATTGCCTGTTCCTCTCTCTGAAGATAGGGCTTATAATGGCATCCTTCCAGTCCCTGAATAGCTTAGCCTGGGTCAGAGACATTCGGAAAACTTCCCTAAGTGGAATATATATTGCATCCGCCAAGGAAATTGACAGTTTAGGGTGAAGTCCATCGGGCCAAGGTGATTCACGCGGCTTCAGTTTAGACAGTAGTGTGTCAGGTAAGGACTACCTTGAAAGATATCGTGAGTTCTACGTAGTTTTTTGGACCTAACTTAATTATCTAATGAGTTATGTTACCGAAGTATTTGTCTGTGTGCACTATTCCAGACTGCTTCTTACGTATGCAGAACATATTATTTTGGATATAACTCATGAAAGCCCTGGGTGTAAATTATATTCAGGGATCTCTTAGACCCATTAAACCCTTGTTTCTACATGTCATTATTCCTCCCGTTCATTACTGTTTCTTTGAACTTTTCCTCTACCTCTAAGTGCTATATGAAGTGTTGGGGCTTGAACTGCTGGATTTTTGTGGTAGGTTTTCTGTTGAAAACTTTACTGTCAGGGTTGCTTAGGCACCAGATTCATAGCAGTTTGCTGTTCCTTACCATTTTTTTTAAATAACTGGTTCTTTTGTTTATACACTTTGGGCGACTATAACTAGCGCCCTTGACTCATTTTAATTACTTCAGTTTAGCTGGTATTAGTGTTAAGAGCGTTTGTTCCGTGACCTTAAATATGTTCTTGAATTTAGTTAGCAAGAACAGGTCTTTCATGTATCAGTCTATAAGCCATGCATGTATTACGTTTGCTGACGATACTTCCCAGACTGAGGTAAATAAAGTAGAACTCCAACTTGAAAATTTGCCTAAAAGCTGAATGCTTACACCAATGATCCACATTTCCATTCACCTAGATCATTGTGAAGTGTTAATCTGTTGTGCATCACCGTAAATAGCCGCGATCCCTAACGTTATCTCTAAGTAACAGTATCGACCAATTACACGTTCATTGGAGTAGAGTAGAAGCGATAATTTATTCTCTCACTTAGGTATTTGATGTAATACATTGTCTCGTACAGTGACACTTGCGAATCTGTAAGGGAATGGAATGTCTTGTTAAAATCCTTAAACAAAAATTTCCTCCTCATAACTCTTCCGTCGAACATAAGGTTTCCTACCTAAAGCTGCTCTGCTCGTTTACAAACAAGTCATTTGTCTCCCCACAAGTAAATCATTTAAAATTTTTATTTTATTCCATTTGCGTTCTCAGTGGAACATAGGGCTTCAAGTTTCAGACTTAAAGTTTATAAAATATTGTGCTATTTTAAAGGGTGAGGTTGCCAGACTCATGTCCAACTCCTCGTTACCGGATTACATTTGATCAATAGTTGTACAAGAGTGCCTCAGCCAGGGATCGAGCCACATGCGTGGTTGGCAAGCATCCTACAGCTGCAACGGAACAGTCTCATTACTTTTTCCGGAGTCACTAACGTAAAATGTTGAGCTGAAAAGACAGTAGTAAGAAACTGATCGTCTGTAGCTATCCTGAAGAATGAGAATACCACTGCACCTTAACCTTTCCTAGATAAGCTAGTCCGAAACGGGTTATGGATCAAGCCAACCTATGCTAGTGACAACCTTAGATGTAGTCTATAATATCCACATTAGGACGTCTAAATTCAGTATTCATTATTTGTACTGTTAGTCTATACACTGGTAGCGATATAATTTCTAGTAGTGCATACTCGAGTTTAGGTAGGTAACAGCTGGTTTTCTAAACACTTACTTGAGCAAAGATCACTGAGGAGACGGTTGAGTGACTCTCGAATGGGAAATAACAAGTTGGGCGTCTTAGGGAGACGTAGAGGAAATAAGCGTTTATGGTCTACCTAAAAAAGAATGAAGCGAACAAAGTGGAATTGCGATTTGTTGGTGAAACCCTGTGTTCCACTTAGAGCCCGAGAGATTGATAACTGCTGACTGGGTTTCAGCATAGAGCTTTGTACAGATATACATCAGTTCAAGTTGCCACAATCCATATAGTACGCAATGGTGAAGAAAAGAAAGAACAAAGAGATTCAAATGACTTCGAATGAGCAGAATTCTACTGAAGAAAGAATAGTAAAATGGAATGCTGTAAAGGTTTACTAGGTCTGAGAAATCGTAAAGAGTGAATGCATCTGAGTCATTGAGAATGCTTTTAATCCCTATCACTAATAGTCTCCAACATCCTCACTATCCCCAACTCCTCTCCACGTAGCTGCTTCAAACCAATTATCAGGGACTTCATGGATTAATGCCATTTTTTTGGTTTGACCACTCCTTAACTTTTTTCCAACTTAATCCCATATCAGCTGACATTACTTATCGAAGAAGGCGATGGCTTAAAATGCACAATATATCCTAGCTATCTCAGTCGATTTAGCTTTACAACTTTGTCGAACGACTTATTCTCGTCATATGGTGTTGTACGGCTAACCTCGATATTACTCGCTATATTATACCACTTAATATGGGAGTTAAAACGCAAACAACTGTAGTCAAAGACAGATACCTTCTTCATAACTTTCAATGGCCGTGTCTCAAAGTCATAAAGACGGGCAAAATGACTGCTGCACGGTACACATGTCCTTTCATGGATGGCTGGATGTTACGTCTACGCCAGAAATAGCAAATGCCAGAGTTTTTTGTATCCTTGCTAAGACCTCGTCAACAACCAGTTTATAAAAGAGATTAGTAATAATGTATATTAACTAATGTAAACCATTTCGCTATTGGTCTTCAACCGTTGATTCTCAACTTCACATGTACTCCAACCTAAAAGTCTAGGGCAGACAATCATAGACATCATGCATACGTATCACTATTGGTTTGGCTACTTTTCCAACATTACTTACTGCATGCAACAATTCGTAACAATGTAATCTGTCTAAGTGGTTTCAGATTTTTAAGACGAGATCGGTGTAGCTCTGAAAAAGAAATGCGGCTGTGGCGTTGCATCCTTCATTATTTTCCACAAATCTTGTTCCTGTCTCTTGGGAAGATATTACAGTGTCTAAATCACCAAGTGGATCATCCGTTAAACTTAGACCTATTGTGATCACCTCACAATTTTCAAGAATAGTAGAAAAATTGCTCTTACGCGTAACCGTGTACCTTCACTGAAAGCTTTTAACGACCCAAAACAATTTACTTACGAACACGATAGAAACGCTTTAGATGCTACTGTTGTTTTACATCATAATGTTATCTTCATTTTAGACAGAAGTGCTAAATATGTTCCGTATGCCTTCTTAGATTACACATCTGTCTCTAATTCTGTACCCAGGCCTTTTCAGTTAAACAGGCTTGTTGTGACACAGAGAGAGTACTAGATTAACAAGTGGTTGCACTTTTGTTTTTCTGTTAGTAAGCAGCATACCGTATGTGAAGGGGAGTCTTCGACTGTTTTACTTGCTGTAGCCACTGTCGTTCAAGGAGTTGTTCCTTCTCTTTCTTATATGACTTGCCTAATTCTGAAGCCAACTGTGTTAAGTGTGGTGATGGTAAGACTGCTCGCATTCCAATTACTTCTCAGTTAGATTTTGTTCCAAGAAGAATAGCTTTTTATCAGAAATTAGTCAGTGATCCTTATCAAATAACCTTAAGCTAAATCCCTCAAAATGTCAGATTGTTAATTTTACTTTCAGACACAAATAAGATTTACGTGAATTGGTTCATTTCCATGATTCTTGTGTCATAGATGGCATTGAAGGCGAAACTAAGTCGAATGTTAATATAACTTGGTTTGTGTCTTTCCACATCATTTTGATTCCTAGAAAGGTATTTCGTCTAACTTTCTACGTAAGGAAGTTAAGGCATCTGATACTACTCGGTCTCCACTTCTACAATTTGTTAATTCTTGTATTCTGCCTATTCTTCTTTACTGCATCCACCGCTTAATCTCATCTGGGCTACTGAAAAAAAACTTTATCGCACTGAGAAAAACACTAAAAGCTGCCGGTAGGGCGATTAGGGTATTTTGGACAGATATTTGAATTCATGCAAGAAATTGGCGAAAATCATTTTGTCTGACTCTGAGCATCTTTTCTCCTCAGCTAGGAGACTAGAAGGAATTACGAGACTATGCTCGAATGACTAAGCATCGAAACTCTGTGATGCCTAATTTAGCACGGATTCTATGTGGTGAGGAAAGTTAGGTGTAAGACAATAAATGAACGTCCCTTTTTATTATTACTGTATTGATTTCAGTATTTTTGTTAATTAAATTTTATTCTTACATTCATATTCTCTTTTGACATTATTGTTATTGTAAATGCTCTGTTAGTTACTTCTTCTGCGTACTATGTAAATTTAAGGAGAAAACTAGGTGCAATATTGTACTATATGCTGAAAATTCCACATTATGACTGACTGACTGGTTTCAACGTAGAATTTTCCGTGGATATGCAGCAGTTCCAGTTGCCATTCTTCACATCCATGTCTGTCTGTCTGTTTTCGACATAGAACTTTGCACCTGTCTGTCTGTGTCTGGATTCAACATAGAACTTGGCACCGAAGTGCACCAGTTCGAGTTGCCACGTTCCAAATAGCACACAGAGGTAGACAAGAAGATGAGTGAAGAGAATCAACAGAGTTTGACAAGTATAAGAGTGAAACAGAATGGGTAATGGTAGAAAGGAATATGAAAGATTACAGAGACTCGATACATCTGCTCCGGCCATTGACAACGATTTTGAGCCATGTCACCTATTGTCTCCAGCCATTGATTCCTAGAGTCCCGAGGACCCCAACCCGGGAGTCTGCATCTCCCTACCTGACCGACTCAGTTTAACTGTCAAGGATTTCATGGATTGATGAGGCCATGTTTTTGTTTGGCCACCACTGGCTCTTTTCCAACCTGAACCTATGTCAGCTAGCAATGCCCGTCGGGGGAGGCGGTGGTTAGGCATGCGCAGCACGTGACCTAGCCATCTTAGTCTATGTAACTTTATAGCCTCGTCGATTGATTTTCCCTGTTTGCCCAACACTCTACGCCTAACGTCAACATTACTTATCTTATTATACCACCTAACGTGAGAAAGAGAATGTAGACATCTATGATCGAAAGCAGTCAACCTTTTCATGTCTTCAACGCGTATTGGCCATGTTTCAGAGCAGAGGTCCGTAAGGAACTCCAAGTATTGAAAAGCCATAAGGTGCCCGGCCCAGACAATTTACCCCGGTTCTTTTTAAAGATGGTGGCGAGACTCTCACAATGGCTCTAACTGGGTTGTTCGGGAAGGTTTGGGAGACAGAGAGTGTACCATCAATGTGGAACGAAGCCATTATCGTCCCTATCTTTAAAAAGGATCGAAGTAATTCGTGTGACAATCGTAGGGGTATCAGTCTGTTACCAGTCGCATCTAAAATATTGGCTGCCGTCTTGCTTCGCAGGCTGTGCAAAATACGTGAAGAGTTGATTCGCGAAGAGCAGGCTGGGTTTCGTTCAGGTCGTGGATGCATTGATCATGTGTTCACCCTTCGTCAGTTGTTGGAACACTGCCACACGTATTGCAGGCCAACGTTCGTTGTGTTTCTTGATATTAGGGCTGCCTTCGATTCGTTGGACAGAACTGTCCTCTAGAACTGTCTGTTAGAGAGAGGTGTACCTGATAAATTTGTTAACATCTTGAAAGCCCTATACAGAAACACCTCAGGTAGAGTAAAAGCATACAACCAACTATCATCACTGTTCCCAACCAACAGTGGGGTTAGACAGGGTCGCCCAATCTCTCCATTTCTCCTTAACTTTGCCATCGGTGGCATTCTGGAGTCAGCTCTGAAGGATGTGCGTGAAGGTGGTGTAGATCTGCTACCTGGAGATAGACTTTTCGACCTCGAGTATGCAGACGATATCGTCTTACTGTGAGATAGCATGCAGGCTACCCAAATCGCACTTAATCAGTTGGCGATCAGTGTCTGTAAGTATGGTATGTGCTTTGCGCCGTCTAAGTGCAAAGTACTATTACAAGATTGGCAGGAGCCTGTACCTGCACTCACTCTTGTGAGTGAACCGCTTGAAGTTGTTGATAAGTTTGTGTACCTGGGTAGTTGTGTGAGTGCTGGCGGAGGGGTGACGGATGAGATTTCCAACCGTATAATGAAGGCTAGGGTGGTATACATCAAATTGAGCTACCTCTGGCGCCGTCGCGACGTTAGCCTGGCTGTCAAACATCAGGTATACAATGCTTCGGTGTGGGCTGCCCTGCTCTACGCCTGTGAAACCTGGCCTCTCCGAGCTGAGGATGTGCGGAGGCGACTCTGCGTGTTCGATAACCGCTGTCTCCGCAGGATTGCTTGTGTTCGATGGCATCATCGCGTGAGTAATTCTGAGGTTCGGCGGCGTGTGTTTGAACAAAGTGGAGATTACTATTCATTGAATGTCGTCATCTGGAAACACAGGCTCCGGTGGCTTGGACATAGGCTCCGAATGTCACCCCAGAGGCTTCCGTACAGGTCTCTGTTCGCTAGCCCTGGGACGGGATGGAAAAGGCGGAGAGGTGGTCAGTCCATGACGTGGCGTCGTGGGATGAAGGATTTTTGTGCTAGATTAGCATCGGTTGGTGTGTCACGACTCCCTGGTTGGGGTCCGAGAGATAGCTCAAATCGATGGCTCGAAACGTTATCGGATATGGCCAAGAATCGTAATCAGTGGCGAATGTGTTGCGATTTCCTTCTTTCTTCCCTTCCCGATGATAGTTAACGAACACTGTTTGAACTTGTTAAGCATGACTGTCTTCCTTCTAGATGAAGTTCTTTATCCGTTCTCTACTTATATACACATACATATATATATTTCTCTTCTTTCTTTTTTTTTTATGATCTGTGTTGTTTTATTATTATTGTGTGGCGCATCCTTCTTGATGCCATAATGTACCAAGTTTTTTATGCGTTTAAATAATAAATAATGTTTCAGAGCCATAGAGAAGGACGGAGCGAACTGATGAGCAGTACACACGTCCCTTGGTTTATAGCCAGCCGGATGTCACACCTACGCCAGAGATGGTGTAAGTCAGCGAAAGCAGCTCGAGCTTTTCGGATCCGTGCTGAGATTTCATCGCCAATCAGTCCGTTGGTGCTAATACAACTTCCCAAATAGGTGAAGTGGTCAACATGTTCTATCACTTCACTCCCTATCACTAAGTTAGGAGTTGACGTGGTCCAGTCCTGTAGCAGGCAGCATCTTACATTTTACAGGGGGCGAATCGCATGCCAAACATACGGAGATTGTTGCTCAAAGTGTTCAGAAGACTCTGCATTTTGTCACCATCCTCCCCTAACAGGACTATGTCATCTGCATATTCTAAGTCCATAAGACTATTCCCTGGTAACAAGTCGATTCCTAAGTCGTTACGTTCAGTTAAGGATACTTCCATTAGCATATCTATGATGAAGTTAGACAGAAATAGGGAAAGTGGACATCCCTGTCGGACACCACTGGTTGTTACCAATTCAGATGACAATTCCCCATAAGCCCTTACACGACTACATGAGTTTGAATAGAGTGCCTTGATTAGTGCAATGTACTTTCTTAGCACTCCCTTCACAGTCAGACATTGCCATAGTATCTTTCGATCCACGGAGTCGAAGGCTGCCTTCAAGTCAAGAAATATGGCAATTGTTGGACGCCGAAAAGTGTTTATGTTCTAGAATCTGTCGGAGAGTGAAGATGTGAACTATGCACCCTCTACCTGGTCTAAAGCCTCCTTGATTTTCCCTCGTCTGTTCCCCCCGAGTTCTGCTTAGTCTATGCATGATTACTGAGCCTAGGATTTTAGAGACTATGTTCGTTAGGCTGATCCCCTATGATTATCACACGAGGACTTGTTTCCCTTCTTGAATATCGGTATAATAAGTGACTTATCCCAGTCTGATGGCACTGTCTCTGATTCCCAGACGTTGCCTAGTACCTCAGTTAATCTACAAACTAGTATGTCACCCCCATATTTAAAGACCTCCGGAATAATTCCGTCGGGTCCTGCTGCTCTGCCTCGTTCCAAATTACTGATAGCTTTTGTGACTTCACTTACGGACGGTGGACCAGTGTCTATATCCCACTCGGGTGTGTGCTGGATGGTGGGGAGGTTCAGTGTGGCTGTAGGCAAGTTAAATTGTTCCTCAAGGTGTTCTTTCCAGCGTTCAAGGCGTCTATCCTGAGAGCTAATTAAGGAGCCAACTTTACACCGATGTGCGGCAGTTCAATTCGCCACACTCCCTCCTTGTAGCACACAAAGCAAGAGAACAAAGTAGAAGAAATGAACAATAGAGACAGTAAACAGAGGTGTGAGACAAAGGAATAGTAGTTACGAAGAACAAAACAGTTTCATTGGAAATCATAAGTCACAAGGAGTGGAAGCATGTGCGCCAGCTATTGAGAACGATTTTGAGCCATATCACTGATTGTTTCCAGCCATTGGTTTTTACCGTCCCGAGGAACCCAACCAGCCAAGAAGTCTACACCTTCCTACGTGGCTGGCTGGCTTAAACTAGCTGTTGTGGATTTCATTGACTGGTTCCATGTTTTGGTTTGATCGCCGCTAGCTCTTTTCCAGCCTGACCCTATATCCGCTAACATTGCCCGTCTGTCGAGGAAGGCGATGACTAGGCATACATGCGTAACACATGTCCTAACCATCTCAGTCTTTGTAACTTCACAACTTCGTCGATTGATTTCCCCTCACACCTATCTAGAACTCGACGCCTAACCTCAATACTGCTCACCTTATTATGCCACTTCACACGGGAGGTAGAACGCAGACACCTATGATCAAAGACATCTAGTCAGCCTTTTCATGTCTTCCAATATCAATGGCCAGATCTCACAGCAGGCCATAAAGGAGGACGGAGCGGACTGATGAGCAGTACACCCGCCCTTTGCTCGATAGCGAGCCGGATATTACGTCTACGCCAGAGACGGCGTAAACTGGCATATGCAAAACTAGCCCTCTGTATCCATGGTGAGATTTCGTCAGAGATCAACCCGTTGGCACTCGCTGATGATACTTCCCAAATAAGTGAAGCGGTCAACGTCCTCTACCACTTCATTCCCTATTTCCAAACTAGGAGTTGATGTAGTCCAGTCATGTGACGTCATCTTGCTTTTGGCGGGAGTGAATCGCATGCCAAACATTCGTAGATTGCAGCTCAAGGCTTTCAGTCGGGCATATCCATGTAGCACACAAAGCAAGAGAAGAAAGCAAAGAGGTATATTAAACAGAAGTGAGTGAGGGAAAACGAATAGTATTATGGAAGCAAAATAGAATTTTTTCGTATATTATAAATCACAAAGAGTGAATGCATCTGTGCCAGGCATTGAGAACGACTTTGAGTGATATCACCAATTGTTTCCAGCCCAGCCTTGATTGGTTTTTATCATCCCGAGGACCTCAACCAGTCAGTCAGGAAGTTTACACTTTCCTACGTGACTGGCTTAAACTAACTGTTGTGGATTTCATTGACTGATGAGGCCGTGTTTCGGTTTGACTACCACTAGCGGATAGTATCAAACGTGCTGTTTAGAATAAAGTCGTTATTATTATTTAATATTATTACTCATGTCTTATGCACATAATTTTGTTACCATCCACCGAAAACTTACTGTTTTTATTAAAAGATTCTCAACAATCGATTGTATTGATAGTCTTTTTTTTAATTTCCTAGGTATTCTTCACAATATTTGAGATCTGCACTTTGTGTAACACAAGTGCACCATCATATAATATGATAGTTGACAGTCTAGAGTGCAGTATATGTTTACAAAATTTTATTCATCCTGCACAATTACCCTGTGGGCATATATTTTGCTTTTTATGCATCAAAGGTTGTGCTTTTCATAGATTGAAATGTCCTATGTGTCGTAGTAGATTTTCTTCGCGTTTCTTTGATGATCCCAAACTTGTTAATGGTAAGCTTTATCTAATTTGTAATCCAATAAACTTAATAGTTTAATTTATTCTACACTGATACTTATCTTAATACATACAGGTTGTTGTGAACTGAAGTGCAACTCAATTATTCGATGCTTGATGTTATCATGACTACTAGATTATATATGTACATATAAGATATTAGATGATTGAAGGCAATCGGCAGGAAATCTTGGACATAGGTTTCCTGCTAGTTGACACTAGTTACTAGTGTCCAATCAAAGTATCCACTACAGTCCTACAGGAGGTCAGTTGCGACCTCGACTAGCTTACTGGTAACGTCTCTGACTGCAGCACTGAGCGACGTGGATTCGAATCTCAGGGGTAGGGACATTAGTTCCTTCAAGGTTGCAGATACGCCGCCTTGTTGGCTGGTAAATGCCAACTAGGACGAAACCCAAGTCCAAGACTTCCTGTGGCCTCATCTTTGACTGAAGTGAAATATCCTGTTATTATGACTGACAGTGACACACACGCAACACTTCTTTCTGCTTCACTTTATATATACGTGAAATGTGGTCGCTGAATGTAAAAGATATAAAGGTGTCGTCGGCTGTCAAATCAATCACTTACTCATATCCAGCTGTTGACTTCCTCGACGTAGTAGAATTATGTTGGGGAAATGTTGAGTGTGGTATGAGCCAGATAGATTGGTGTAATTTGGTTGTTTACTGTACTGCTGAAGATGTTTAGTATAAACAGTGATGGGATACTCTGGATGACAACTTTCAAAATCTACTCCTTCCTTCGTATTTGATAGAAACAGATTTATTACCTCATATTTGCTAGTCTATAGTTTCATTCCAGTCTTGAAAGTAGTTCGCGCATTTTTGAATAATAGCAGATTATTTGGCAGTACAAACCCTTTTTTATTCCTCTACGATCCGAAGAGGATATATTAGGCTTCAGGTTAATGCTTTATAGTTTCAGTAGCAGTGGTTTCAGCCAAGTTAAACTTTAAGCACCACGAACTACCAGTGGAGTGCGACCGCACCAATTACCTTGAAAAGCTCACTGAGCAAATTGGTGGAATTCGGCAAATAGTATTGTCATCATCAGTAGAATATGCTCATCGAAGGGTGTTATGTTATTAAATAGGATATCTGGCAAGTTTCAGCTTAGGTTTGCGAAAGATTAGGTTACTCTTCAAGCCAAGGGCAAGTTAGGGTTAGGTTAATCTAACAAAGGCGACGGTAGATTTGCTTCGAGTTAAAGTACAGTTAGTTTAGGGATATTTTCACGTTAGGATTAGGTTCAGGAAAGATTAGGGTTAGAAGACCTAAATAATTACATGCATAGAATGTGGTTAAATTACTCTGTTGACATAAGAATAGAACTTATGCACTGTGGTATAGTTTAATTCCATTGTGGGTAAAATTTATTCTGATAAAGTCTCACAGTGTTATGCAGTAGTAATATTTACTGATGACGTTACGAGCACAATCTTTGAAACTTTATTAAAATAAACTTTGCCCACAATGGAATTATACTCTGTTGATACATCAACCTAAAACAGAACTATTTTTATCCCATGTGAGAGGAAGCTATCCTCTGTAACACTTTTACACAGTTTTTATGCAATTTTTTCATAAATATATGTATTCCATACACAAAAATGCCTCCTTCGCGTGATTGGTCCTTTCTGGGCCACTTACTGATTGGTAGTTAGTGGTGTTTAAAGTTTAACTTTGCCTTGGTTTCTTTTTTTTACGGGGTGGGGTTACTGTCCTCACCCCCAACCCCTCCAACTTTATCAGGCTTACTACCAGCTTAGTAAGGTTTAAGAAGTGCGTCACGTGAGTGGTTGACAAGCTTTCTGCCATTGAACCACCGACGACGCACACAGTATGAACTTCAGTGGAATAATATTTGAAAATACCATTTTGTGACATTCATTGATTATTGGATAACGTTTCATAAAAAATTTACAAACAATGCTTTAACTTTGTATCATTTCAGTCTGCGTAAAAAGTGAAAAAGATCGACTTGATGAAATAAATCAACTAGTCGATTCATGTAAATGTTTGTCAATCCAACCACAACAATCAACAGTAGACGAAGGCAATGCTTCCAGTTCAAATCAATATCAATGTTCAGATTATGCCTGGTTCTACGAAGGTTTTCAAGGTTGGTGGCAATACGATGAACGTACATGCTATGAGTTAGAAAATGCATTTAACAAACAATTACCATCTCATGAGTTAACAATTGCAGGTTATATTTATGTTATAGATTTAAAGAATATGACTCAAGTGAGTTTTTGTGTATTAATTTGTGATAACACACTGTATTATTCATAAAGTCAGTATCATTATTGTTCAGCAATGTTTCCTTCCCATTGGTATTTATGCTAAATGAGCACAATTCCACATAATGATTAAACTTCAGCATTCTGAAAAATGTACGTCGGGGTGGGTCAGTGGTAGAGCGCTGGCTGACCATACACGTGGTCCCGGGTTCGAGTCCCGACCGGTGCACACTTTTACCTTCCTTGGCCGGTTACAATCCCGATAAAGAGGGAAGGTTGGGCTAGGGTGTCTAGTAAACCCACCCCGTAAAAACACCACTGCTAAAGCTTGAAGTACGATGTTCCACTGAGGAGAACGCAAAGGAATTTTTAACAAGTGAAATAAGGTGTTCTTTCATCTGTATGTTATAATTCGTTGATTGCTGATATTATACAATGTTCACCATGAATACAGATTGAAGCTAAACTGACTGAGTGGTTTCAGCATAGACCTTTGCACAGAGGTGCAACACTACAAGTTGCTACACTTCATTTACCAAAAGAGAGAGAGGAAAGAGATCCCAAGTGAACAGTAATACACAGAAATGTCAGCAAAAAGAATAGTAATATGAAAAAACAATAGGATTTAATGGTTATGTGGAGGATCACGAAAAATCCATTCCGTTGAAAATGATTTTGAACCTTATCACCAATAGTTTTCAGTCATTGGTTTTTTAGCATCCCGAGAACCCCAACCAGTCAGGAAGTCTACATCTCCCTACTTGAATGGCTAGAACCAACAGTCAAAAATTTCATGGACTGATGGCAGGTTTTGGTTTGACCAACCCTGGCTCTTTTCCAACCCAATTCTTTGTCAACTAACATTTCCCGTCAGGGAAGATGGTGGCTGGGTATGCGTAACTAATGTCCTAGCCATCTCAATTAATTTTCCTTTCCTGTCTAACACCGTACATCTTAACTTAATATTACTCGCCCTATTATACAGCCTAACAAATGAGATAGAACTCAGACACCTATGACCAAAGACAGCTAGTCTTTTCATATCTTCTAATTTCAGTAGTCATCTCACAGCTGTAAAAAAAGGACAGAGCAAACTGGTGCTCAGTACACACATTCTTTGGGGGGGGAGGGGATTAGGGGATATCGCGTTTACGCTAGGAATGACGTAAGCTAGTGAATGCCACACGAGCCTTTTGTATCTGTGCTGAGATTTCGTCAGGAATCAGTTCATTGGAACTGATGATGTAGTGGTCAACATGCTCTACCATTTCACTTTCTGTCTTAAAGCTTGGAGTCTATGTATTCCAATCCTTTAGTATCTTCTTACATTTGACAGACACAAATTACATGCCAAGTACTGACAAGATATTCGGAGGACTCTGAGTTTTATCAGCATTCGCCCTAGGAGTGTGCACGATGTCATTCAATGGTCTGTTCGGCGTGTTTCCGATCCATATCAATTTTCCTCGACATATTTGTTTAGCAGTAGGTCGTGGATTGATTCGTTTTCCAGATTTTCTTGTTGCTAATATTCTTTCTGGTCATTTGAACTTCAGTTTTGAGCAAATGCAGTTGCTGATAAAAGTCTGAAGCTTTTGTTGTTAATCCTTTTCCTGACTGACTTAATATTTGTGTTGAAAATCCTAATTTTGTTCTTTGTACTGATTGTTCCCTGATTGACTTGCTACCAGGGAATAATCTCGTCGACTTAGAATATGCAGATGATATAGTCCTTCTAGGCGAGGACGCTGAAAATATGCAGTGTCTTCTAAACACCTTGAACTGCAATCTGCAAATGTTTGGCATGCGATTCGCTCCCGCCAAATGCAAGATGATGTTACAGGACTGGACTACACCGACTCCTAGATTAGAAATAGGGAGTGAAGTAGTAGAGCACGTTGACCGCTTCACTTATTTGGGAAGTATCATCAGCCAGTGCCAACGGGTTGATCTCTGACGAAATCTCACCACGGATACAGAGGGCTAGTTTCGCATATACTTACTTTACTTCGGCTATCTCCTACGGGAGGATGAGCCGGCTTCATAAACGAGTTCGTGAAGTTTCTTGGGAATTTGGTACCAGTGATGTCCCCAGAATCGCTCGGCCTTTTGTTTGAGAGTGCAGCTCTAGCCTTTACACAGCCAAGTGTGACCTACAAGGCAGTAGGAGTGGAGTAGGGAGTCCACTATCCATTGGCAGCCGGTGACCGGAGTTCGGTTCATACGCCTTTTTGAATGGGGCCAGACATCCAGGACATCCAACAAGCCCTTTGTCCATACGTCTGTCGGTGAGCTTCATACGCCAGTCGTTGAAGGTTTGGAATCAGGGTTTAGCCATCTCCCCTAGACTGTCATCCAATGGACAGTCAACCCGGTGGAGAGCGCCGGGCATCCGCTTTTGCCCTCTCGCTTTAGTGAGAAACACCTCCGCCACGTGAAGGCAGTGAGTAGGACTTCCTCGCATATGCCAGTTTACGCCGACTCTGGCGTAGACGAGATGTTCGACTATCGACCAAAGGGCGGGTGTACTGCTCATCAGTCCGCTCCGTCCTCCTTTATGGCTGTGAGCGAGACCTGGCCATTGATATTGGAAGACATGAAAAGACAAGCTAGCTGTCTTTGATCATAGGTGCCTGCGTTCTATCTCCCATGTGAAGTGACATAATAAGGTGAGCAGTATTGAGGTTAGACGTCGAGTGCTAGGTAGGTGTGAGGGGAAATCAATCGACGAAGTTGTGAAGTTACAAAGACTGAGATGGTTAGGACATGTGTTACGCATGTATGCCTAGTCATCGCCTTCCTCGACAGACGGGCAATGTTAGCGGATATAGGGTCAGGCTGGAAAAGAGCTAGCGGCGATCAAACCAAAACATGGCCTCACCAGTCAATGAAATCTACAACAGTTAGTCTAAGCTACGTAGGAAGGTGTAGACTTCTTGGCTGGTTGGGTTCTTCGGGACGGTAAAAACCAATGGCTGGAAACAATCAGTGATATGGCTCAAAATCGTTCTCAATGACAGCTCAGATGCATCTACTCCTTGTGACTTATGATTTCCAATGAAACTGTTTTGATCTTCGTTACTACTATTCCTTTGTCTCACACCTCTGTTTACTGTCTCCATTGTTCATTTCTTCCACTTTGTTCTCTTGCTTTGTGCGGTACAAGGAGGGAGTGTGGCGACTTGAACTGTCGCACATGTGTGCAAAGTTCTATGTCGAAAACAGACAGACTGATTGTTGCAGTTTTCCAAACGGATTTCAGAGCATTGAAGTTTTTTTCTTACCCTTCCAATTCTAGTGTTGACATCCTCATCGGTGTTGCCTGTAGTTGAGACGATGCTGTCTAGTAAAAGTGGTAACTTTCTTCAAAAGTTCTCCTATTGATAATGACTGGTGTTAAACAACCTGTAAGACGCTTTATTTAGTGAAACACGTGATTGAGTCCCAGCCAATAGCCACTACCTTGATGTGGTGTTCGCACTAGCATTTTGTAGTGACCCCCAAGGAGCAGCAGTTACCTTTAGCTGAAACTAATGTTTTTGCAGGTCCTACCAATCTGCCAGAAAGAGGTCGTTTGGATAGAGGCTAGACTAAAAGTGGTTACCGTTGTAGTGTTAATTGTTTACACTGTGTTTGGAGTGTGTAGGTGTGCTAGGGAATAGACATGTAACAGCAGTAAGGTATTTCTCTGAGATGCCCAGCATGTCTCTCTCCACTCTGTAGATGGCAAAGGGTTAGAAAAAGTCTATACGAAAATTCTACATACCAGTTTTTCCCTGCTTGAGGTCCGTAGCCGGCGGTTAGATCCTAATACGCATGCAGCTCCGAAAACCATTTTAGAAAGGTCGTGTGTGGCTGACGACAAACAGTTGTCACTTGAGCTGTGTGTGGTCACGCAATATGCCAATAATCCGTCTGTTTCAGGTGCCCTAGTCAGTCAGATGAAGTCTTATTTTCGCTACAAACATGGTGTTTTGTTTTCTGATTGCACCATAAATAAGTTGCTTAAATCGTGTAATGTTTTATTGTAAAATTAACTTTGATCTCATTACGTAATGTATTTACCCCTACTTTCTTTCTCAAAGATACGCAAAGATCGTTCTGGACGTTTACGTCGAATTAAACGGGATTTATTGAGTTGTGAAAAGAAAGGTGTTGCTGGAATAAAGCTTTCCTCGATTCAAGCATCTAGCGCTGATATAATTTCTAAAACACCCAGATGTGATGAAGCTAGTATTTCTAACTCTGATACACTTCCTACTACCAGCTGTATTCCTCCTTCAAATTCTTCAGCTTCCACTTCAAATCCTGGATCTTCAACACATGGCCGAGTATTACGTTCAAGTCGGTCACGTACTCCGCATTCTTTCGGTAATACAAGCATTGGATTAGCGTATACAGCTGACGCCGTCCATAGATCTATTTCATCTGGACCACGTAATCAGAGTGATACAAGCACCACCTCCTCCGCAACAAAATCACATAATCAACACACATGATGAAAGCATTCACATTCATACACTGACTTCTCTGTCGTCGTCTTTTCCTTTGCTTATATGCGTCCGGAAACGAAAATTCACAATCAAGTCATTTTGTTTTCATAACTGTGATCACTTTTTAAGACTCATTGAGGAACGCTTATCTCTGGAGAAAATTTTTAAATGTTGTATCATATACACAAAGCTTAGAAAAAACAAACTGTTTTAGATAGTACAGAAATTTTTAAAAATATATATATATATATATATATACTTTTATCTTATATAATGCCCTAAGCGTGTTTTAAATAAAAAGTAATTCCTTGATGATATGTGATGTTGTGTGCATTATACCTGTGATAAATAATGTTATTGTAGGATTAAATTTACTTGCAGATGCTTTTGGTCCTCACTATCAGAGTCTTTAAACTGCAGGCATTGTGCTCTACAAAATTGTCTCCTGAACATGAATATACGCGATTCCTTCTTAGAATTATTTAGTCGGATTCTCAACATTATTGTCTGAAAGTTGGGTAAAAAATACTCAGTATGTAGAGTCAGGATTAGAATTTTTCTTTATTTTTCCTTCCGATGGAATGCCTACTAATCAGCTGGGCATACCCTAGTGTGTTAGCGATGCCTAATTTCTCCTTGACGAATAAGCTTTTCTTTATTACTCCTTTGTCTCACACCTCTGCTCACTGTTTCTATTATGCTTTTCTTGTACTTTCTTCTCTTGCTTCGCGTGCTACACGGAGTGTGGCGACTTGAACTTCCGCACATTTGTGCAAAGTTCTATGTCGGAAACAGACAGACATAAGCTTAAGCCACCAAACGATGATTCACGACCGCTCTTTGTGATGTTTCAAGCAACTTTAACCCATTCTCTTTGAGAATATACAGGGAGTTTCAGTACTAGGTGTTGTTCAGTAGTAGTCTTATCAGACTTCAAATCTGAAATACAGTTCATTCGCTGAAGCGTCAGTCCGCACGCTTGGATCTTGCGCGTCGTTACCCCTTCCATTTGGAAAATCCTGGAGTTTGTCTATGAAGGCTAGGACCAAGACATGCTTTTGCCCAAGTGCTTCCTGCGATAATTCTAAGGTTTTATAGTATCCTTCTTCCGGATGTAACGGAACACAGCGCTTGATAACATCTTCTGTCTCTCCATCACAGTACTGAATCAAGTAATTTATTCATTTTAGCCCGAAAGCATCATTGTCCAATCAGTCTTCAAAATTCTTTATGAAATTCCAATAATTTATAGGGTTGTCATAAAACCCTAATTATCTCTCTTTCTCGTAGGCATGTCCAGAAACTTACACATGCTTCTATCAAATTCAACGTTAGGAAAACGTACCAGGTGCAAGAGAGGCGGAAGGTGTAATAAGTGACTTCTTATGTTCGAAACGTTCACGGTTTGCCTGTCGTAATCTTTCCAAGTTAATTTCCTTTTCGATTTAGACAATGCGCATTTTCTCTAGTTCTAGCTGGATCACACAATTTGACTAATACTCATTAATTCTAGTCACATTCGTTTCATCACTCCTTTCTGATTGTGGAGATAACCTCGGCATAGGATTGTACTTGTGATCTGATGACATATTGTTCGAAACTTTGTAGGATTAAATTTGCCCCTAGATTGTTTGGTCTTCATTCTCAGTACTGGCAATACAGAGTCTAGGCCTTACTATATTTAAAACTTAGGTGACCCAACGTATTCTTTTTCTAAAATATAGAGGAAATGCTACACTTACACAAATGCAACTGTCCTTGATGGACAGGAGTTCGCTGATTGACATTATACCTTGTGGCAGATTCTTGAGTGGGACCCAAATGGGAAGTAATGAGTTGAACGTGGATCAGAGGTTGACATGGTAGTTTATGAACAATCGTCGAGCTAGCTAAAGAGGACTGTAGACAATAGGGCTGAATGGAAGTGTGCATTGGTGGCACAGCGGTTAGGACGCTCGCCGACGCACACTCGATGTCAATGGTTGGCCTGCAAAATTTGGGCTACCTATATCACATGCTGAAAATTCCATACTTGTATCAAAAATACTGTGTGGAGTCAAGCTATAATAATAATAATAAATCTAATTGCTACTAATGCAGCCGTTTATCTCACTTCTATGTCCCTATACTTTTACAGAGATCAAGTCTATGCATAATAGCTGTTCAAATTTCGGCAGTTTGAAATTAGTTCGAATTTCAAAACCCATAGGTTGGAGTTTATCTGTGTAAGGGGGGCGGCGTATTCAGTCACATATTAACTTACTTTCCTGGTGAAGTTTCGGATTGTTACACTTTATCTTAAGTGGAAAATAGGGAATTAAGAGATTTTTAGGTGTATTTATTTATTTACAATTTGAATTGATAACATGTGTCACCATGGAAACGAATAACCAATCAATACGCTGCTGTTGATTCAGATAGATATTTGTCCGTTTTTCTAATCATAGAAGCTGTCACTTTCATCAGCCAATTCTTCTGTTTTATATGTTGTCCATGAGGAAAGCAGATTTGTACTGTTCATATCTGTAATTTATTACATGCAGAAAAGACAAAAAAGAACTTGGATAGAACTCATAAAATTATGCCTTATAATATGCACTTCCAATTCAATACTTAAATATATGAACAAATAAAGGAACTGATTAAAAATGTCCATTAAAATTTTCAAAAGAATGGATACTGAACAAAGAGTACTCTTTTCGATAAATTCATCATCAGGCTCTACATTTATACATACATTATAGTGAATGAATGAGTTAGTGTTATAAACGACATTAATGTTGTTTAAATAACATCAAATCAATAATATTGGTAGATTACACCTGAATCGCATCAACATAGAATAAGCTGAATGTCAGAAACATTAGGAAAGATAGTAGTACAAATTCATGAGTTTATAGTCTCTACTGAAGGCTGGCCAGGGCAGTAATAGTGGATGGCTGAACTTGTTTCTTTTGCACACAGAGCACTGGTTGTATTGAGGCGAATTGCAATAGCCTCTGGTGTTTGGAGCATGCGGTGCTTCGATGATTTTGGAAATTTGTTGGGCACCCGGTAGATGATAGAGAAGGATTCTTCCACGGTCGCTAGCTGGCTGGTTTGCACCAAATGGTCCAATATCGAACTGTTAATGGTTTTAACTACACCTTTACTTAGCCATACTGGGAGATATTCTCGAGTGTAAAAAATCAAGTTCCTAGAGCAACGACCAATATAACTCGCTCCACAATTAGAAGTGGCTAGTCTAGGTACTTAATCTTTTAGTAGAGGAATCACCATTGGTCTTGTAGAGAATAATACGTGTAGTTCGCCAGCATTAAAGGTTCTTTGAACTGATTTTCTTAATTTCTTCGTATTTATTTCATCTTGGGAACTTCAATGGGCACGGTTAAAGATCTTTAGGTGAGTCAGTAAAGTGAGTCGATGAGGTTGGGAATCTGTATCAATTGTGACATGGCTAAGATATGTGTTACGCACATCAAGTCATCGCTTTTCATGTCGAGTAATGTCCAAATTGGGTGAGCCAGCGGCTCAGGGGTAGGATGCTCGTCGACCATGCCTGTGGTATGGGTTTCGAACCCCGCCGGCGCACACATTCACCTCCTCTAGCCGATTGTAAACCAGACAAAGATAGGGAAGGTTGTGGATGAAACCAGAAACCTCACCCCGTAAAAAAACCCACTCAAGCTTGAAGGTGTATGTTCTACACTCAGAACCCAATTGTTAGGCTTAATTTCAATTTGGATCTCTTCATGAACTGATCAATATCATTCCCAAAAGGAGTCATTATTTTAAAAATAAACTAAGGAGCACTGTGAACTCAGCACTGTTTCGTCCTTACTTAGAACTGCTGTTCAACAGCACTCACGCACCTACACGCACTCATCCACCAGCTCCAACAGGAGGGGGATTCAGTCTGAAAGCCTCAGATTATATCAGGGGAGTCTATTGACCTTTTCTATCAGTGGGTTATAATTCAAAAACCTGTGACCTTTAACTTCTCTTAATTCACACCTGATGTGCTGAACGCCACGCGTGACCACAACTCCCCCCCCTTATGGAAATTCAGAATATCCATCATTAAATAGCCACTTTGATCTTGTTGGTCGTCGGTGCGTACTGTTGAAGAGTCCCAACCTAGGACGAAATGGTTGTCAAGTTTTTAGTGATCTGTCTAATTGACGTATTGGTTTGTGACGAAATCTAACAGTCGAAATAATTTCCGGTTTCATTGTTTGTTTTTTAAATGTAGATTATCAAAAGAATGGACAATGAACAAAGAGTACTCTTTTCGATAAATTCATCATCAGGCTCTACATTTATACATACATTATAGTGAATGAATGAGTTAGTGTTATAAACGACATTAATGTTGTTTAAATAACATCAAATCAATAATATTGGTAGATTACACCTGAATCGCATCAACATAGAATAAGCTGAATGTCAGAAACATTAGGAAAGATAATAGTACAAATTCATGAGTTTATAGCTTCTACTGAAGGCCAGGGCAATAGTAGGGGCTGGACTTGCTTCTTTATATTATACCGGGTGCCAAATAAATTACCAAAAACATCGAAGCACCGCAGGCTCAAAACACCAGAGGCTATTGCGATTCGCCTTAAACAACCAGCACTCTGTGTCCAAAAGAAGCAAGTCTAACCCCTACTATTGCCCTGGCCTTCAGTAGAAGCTATAAACTCATGAATTTGTACTATTATCTTTCCTAATGTTTCTGACATTCAGCTTATTCTATGTTGATGCGATTCAGGTGTAATCTACCAATATTATTGATTTGATGTTATTTAAACAACATTAATGTCGTTTATAACACTAACTCATTCATTCACTATAATGTATGTATAAATGTAGAGCCTGATGATGAATTTATCGAAAAGAGTACTCTTTGTTCATTATCCATTCTTTTGAAAATAAAGGAACACCAATGGGATCATCGCCCATATCAGGATTAATAACTGAAGCCGTTATGCAAAGATTAGAATTAATAGCTCTACCTATAATGTAACCAAAAATCTGGGTACGTTACATTGATGATACATTTGTAATAATTAAGAGAAATGATTTAGTATATGTATAGCCATAAATTAATAAACAACATATTTAACGATATTAAATTCACCACGACAGAAGAAGAATTAGATAACAAAATCTCATTTTTAGATGTCTTAATCAGGAGAACCAACACAGGAAATTTAGAAACACAAGTAAATAGAAAATCAATGCACACATATCAAATACTCAGCTACACTAGCAACAATCCAATTACTCACAAACGAAACTTTGTGCAGACATTGTTTAAAAGAGTTCAAACACATTGTAGCACACCAGAGTTGAAAAGAATGGAAGAAAAATACCTACAAACGGTCTTCAAAAAGAATGGTTATCCACAAAATTTCATCAAAAAGTGTTTCAAATCGAATCACAACACCAACAAGGAACCATCATCAAAGACCACAAGAAAATTCATCCTACCATACATGAGAAATATCTCTGAAATAACAACTAGAATACTGAAACCGTTTGAAGTAGATATAGCACACAAGCCAGTTAAATCGCTTAATTCGATATTATGCAAACCAAAAGATCCAATAGAAAAAGGAGATAAAATTAATACCATTTACAAAACAAATTGTATGAATTGTAACAAGCATTACATTGGCCACAGTGAGCGTCTCCTTCGAATCAGAATCCACGCCGTGAAAAGATAAGATATATAATTTCCTTCATATCAATGCATATAGAAAATTATGGACATCAGTTTAATTAGAATAATGTCGAAATCTTAGACAGAGGAGACACCAAAAGTGCAGTCAAGGAATTCCTAGAAGCCTGGTACTCAACCTAATATGCAATTAACAAACACGTTAATATAAACCAAATATACCGACTAATAAAAAGTGAATCATGTGACCAGAAAATTTAAAATCCAAGTCAATAGAAAATGCTCAATACATATGTAAAGATGGTTACTGGGAGAGGCAATTCTATCACTCATGAAGAAATTTAAATCAGTTCACTTTATGCTAAAAATTTCGCTGAAAGGGGATGTTGTCCAGCAGTGGGGGGACGACGAAAGCTCCGCAACTAAACCAACCAGCTCAGAGGACACTATTAATTGCAAAAGAAAGAAATTATTGATTATCTGCATATTTATATCCCTCCCTGAAAGGAAACAGTTTACTGGTTAACACAGGTCAGTGCGTAACTGGACCTGTTTCTTGTACACACACAGAGCTCTCTAGTTGTTTTGAACTAATTGCAATTGGCCTCTGTTGTTTGGTCTGTTTGGATAAGGCGATCTAATATAGAAATATAGGTGATGGTTTTAAGTACACCTTTATTTAGTCACAACACTTAAGTGTCGCTGAGGTTGAAAAATTAAGCTTCTAAAGCAACAGCCATTATAGCTGGTTCCACAGGAATTGTTTTTACTCATCAGCAGCAGTCTATCTATTAAGGGAATGAAAGACAACGAGTAATGAAATTCACTACCCTGAATTATCAGAGAGAAAGTTGCCTAGATTTCTAGTGAGAAGTCATAACCATTGGGGTTGATGAATTCAAGTAGGGGAACACAGTTACTCACCAAAGACATTGTCTGGTGGTTGGTCTGTATGTACCACGAACTGGTGGGCTAGTCACTGGACCGAGTATCAGTGGTTGAATAAACTACGAGCTAGCCTTTAAACTGGAATGTCCTGGATTCGAATTCTAGTTGGTGGATAGGTACTGCTGAAAAGTCTCGAACTGGGACGAAACATATTTGTTCTAATTTCTTCCTGATTTTGCGAGTGGAACAGTAGTGGCATTCAGCCGCACATCTGCACCCTACGTTGTTTTCTATTATCATTTTCTCCTAGTACTATTGTGGTGAGAGCTGGTACTAGCCAAAATTGGTAGACAGTATTTTACTTCAATGTTCATGTCCCCAATATTGGTCGTGAGAAAAATATGAAGAAAGACTGATTCAACAACCAACCACAGCAGATTTTGCGTAGGCGGATACAGTTAGCATATAGATGATTTGACATTCAAGAGACAGCCACAAAGAGATGAAAGATTAACTTTCAGTGAGAAACAACCAATCAGAAGATTGTGTTTTTCTGTTAACACTAATCTACAATATGTACATGAAAATCTATAAATATGTGTTGATTTCCTCAATAAACAATCTGTCGCCTGGCCCTTGTCTTCTGTTGTTACACTATGACTTTCGACAAGCTTTCATTTCATCTTCACATATTCTTCTCCCGTTCACCCTTGGAGACCCAATTCTAGGGTCTGGTGTGTGGCGTCTCTTGAAGGTCCGCAGTTTATATCTGGTTATATTTCGTATCTGGTTTCATCTTATTTACTCACTCATTCAACCTACGTTTCTCTCTAGTCAGCACCCATCATCATGCCTTATCCCCTGCTTAAAAGAATTTCATGGTTCTTTTGATACTGAGACCAACAGTATTTACAATTCAGACTGCACGAGCGTTAAGGACTAGACGTATGGCATCAGTCAAATCATCGTATCCATTACAGTCCTACAGGCGATGAATTGCTTAGGCTGAATAGCTCAGTTGTAATGTTTCTGACTGTGGGACTAAGTAACCCCAGGGTCCGAATCTCATAAGGGATATGAATTCCTTCGAGAATTAAGATACACCTTGCTGACTGGTGAGTACCAACAAGGACGAAACCCAGGCTGCAGGCTTCCTTCCGACTGTCGCTAACCTTCGAATTACAACAACTCAAAGTGTACCGTGAAAGCCAACCACCTAGAATTCAGTCTGCACCAATATTATGACATTAGTGTCAAATCAAATCAATTTGTGCATCCGAAACCACAGAGATGTAACTCATTTGGCTTGATCAGCTGATTTACAGCTGACTGTTGTATCCCATTGCACCTATTTTAGCTTTTCCAACCGACTGGCATCATCGGTTATCATGTACATGAATTCAAACAATCGAAATTGCAAAAAAGATGCTTTTGAAATTCTCGTTAACTAACAAGTTGAATTACTTGAACAATATTTACGAATAATAGTTTGTTTGTTGTTATGTGTTTTTTTCACAAGTAAATATGTATCTATTTTTTTAAAATTACACCTCAACATTGAACAATTGAGAAGGAGTATTTAAACAAGGCATAATGTTAATAATACTTAGAAATAATTCAAAACGACAAAAAAAAACAATTAAGATATCATCATACGAATTAACCTACCAGGTAGTTTATTCGATTTTTCCATATCTTCATGATTTTCTAACAAAGCTGAATCGAATTCAGATTCATGATCATTCGATTCATTGACATAATTGCATGTATATTCTTCTATGCTAAAAGTTGCTTTCGCTAAAAATTCTTCATAAGACTGACCTAAATAATGTGAAGAAACGATGATAATAATAACAATAATAAGACAAGTTTTCAAGAGTTAATTCACAGGGATTTGATTGATTACAGGTATAGTCAACAATGGACAGATGTCTCGTGCCTAGTACGGGACTCTTCATCAATACGCAACCAACGAGGTTCGAACTCAGGACCTCCTGGCGAGATCGTAGACCATTTTGCTCTATTGGGACATGAGTCAATCTCCAAGTTGAGCTATAGTATCAAGAAATTGGGAGAAACTGGAATTCATGGCATATTCGATCGGGAGGTCCTGCTTCCGAACTCTAGAGGTGAATGTGCCCTCCTTAAAAGTCCAGAACTAGGACGAAATAGATGTACAGTAGTACTGATGTCAGCTCATAATCAAACCTGTACTTAGAGAAGTTGATGATAACACACTATCAAGGGAGACGAAGGAAGCGCTAGGAATATAAGACACTATGTGTATGTGTGTGTGGGTGGATAATTGTAGGTTGTTTCGAGTTACCCCAGCACCAAATCAATAGATCAAATGGCTACATATGTGTTGTAAATAACAATTTTACACTTAAACACTTCTACGCTGTACATAATTGATTTGGTAGGAGTGGTGTTATTTCACCTTCACACGGGGTGGAGTCGCTAGCCTTATGTTCAGCCTGCCTTCTTTTCCACGCTTATTTCAGTCTAGGTGAGGTTTAGGAGGGTGTTGGATATCAGCTGAACCCCGGACTACATACAGCGTGGTCAGCAGGCATTCTACCCCGTGGACCATTCACTCGTTCACGTCGAGAGTCTTATAGTAGAAGATGGTTGGGAAGTACACTCTTCGAAACAGTTCAATCAGGGAAAGTTGATCAGTGTTATTATCAACTGAACTTCTTGAGATTTTTCACAACCGTTAAAATTTTGTGGTTCACTTTTCTTACTCAAACGGCGACAAACCATCATTTGACAATAGTAAAAATAATAATAATAATAATAATAATAATGGCAGTAATAATACTAACAGTGTGGAAAAAAACCTAATCCACTCATAATGGCAGTGAAATTCAGATATTTACTCAATGAACTCTTCACATATACGTACAGATGCATGAACACAAACCCGATGAATGACACATCTTCAAATCATACTGTCTTCATTACACTTGAAATAATCGAACTAGTTTGACTGATTATTGATGAACTAATTTTGACGTACTCCTGTTAACTGGCTGGAGGTTTCCGTGTGTCAATTGACTGATATGATGTGTAGTTTATAGTGTGGATGTGTTATGGATACATCGGATAGGGTTTACAGAGAGAGAGAGATTGTCACTACTGTGTAGCAGTGATGTTTACTTACGCAGTAGTCGTTCGATAAGTGATTCTCTGTCTCTCGAACACACACACACACATACACAATGGAAACAGTTTCATATAAGATGACGGTAGGTGGTAGGCAGGTAAGCTTGTGACAATCAGGTTATGAACACGACATGACACAGTCATCAACTAACAACTTTCTTTAGTATCAAAACCACCATGCGAACAAACACGCATGGTGGCTTACAAAAAACCAGACTGTAATTCTCTTGATGGTGAAGATGACTCAATCTAATCACCTGTAATAAATCATCTACCATACCACAAATATCCACTTTGCAAAATTATCACAAATTTTAATTCCAATGTCGAAATCATCATTCTCATCACCAAATTTACTCAAGATGGTGTATTTCGTCACACTTGTGTAGACAGAATGTTGGCTAATTTGACATATTTCGAAATACACACACAAACACGCAACCATTACACTACTTAAATGAGTGATATGAGCGACAATGCACTCATTCACTGAAAAGCCATCATTCATCTATCAAGGTTTAGACAGTACACGGCTCTTCAGCCGCACACACGCACAGACACCCTCACGTATACACTGTCACCTAAGCACACACACACACCCTTTGGTCACACTCTCTACAATCACGAACGGGATGATTTCGTATGTATCTATCTCACCCATTGGAGTGATGGTCCTTGTTAAGGAAGCAAGGTGACAAGGGAGGAAGGAAGGAAAGAAGTCACTATCACCACCAGGTGAAGTGATTGGTCTCACAAATCCCTTCTTCTTATGGCTGAATTTTCAGTGTCAAAATGATCTAATCTGAGTGGGTATTTAGTTTGCTGTTTCTGTGTGAGAATCATGTCGATTGATGATTCCAATTCAGGTGATGGTAGCGAGTAAACTGAATGTTGACAATGATTACTAGTAGGTATAAATGACTTGTGACGAAGATGCATTGCCTATCATGATAATGAATAGGTATTTTCATGAATGTTTCATTTTTTTTTGTTTTTGTTGTGCTTCCTCACACACTCACTCAACATTTCGCCTTCTCTCCGGACGTATTTCTGATGCCATATTTCGTCGATATGGCAATGGGTGGCTAAAGCTTGTTGCAGACCGGTTGTGTGCATTCATTTCAGTTAACTACAGTCAGGTATTTTCATCTGCTTCGTTTCTTCCACTTTTTTTTCTTCTACCTCAAATGTCTCTATTTGTAGCTACAAATAGACATGTTATATCTGAGTTGCTAATGCTTATAGCGGTAATGAACTCGACTGGTACGCGAATACGCCTATTCGTCCGTTGTACCTTCCGATATAACTGATTCACACAAATAAAAAAAGACAAAGGCTGTCCTGTGAATGTAAAATGCCGTATATTTATCAGGAAACAAGACATATTTATACACCTTCTTTACCACAACACAGTCGGCTTACAGCCGTAGGAATGGATTGTTCTTATTGGCTGGCAATAACTATTCTGATTGGTTGGCGACCCGGGGGAGAAAGACCAAGGCGAGACAAAAGATGATGAATCGATCACACAATAAATCACAATATGCGTAAGAAATGATGGATTAACATAGTAACTCCCTGACAAGATTTGTGAGAAAGGATGATATACTATTTTTTTATGCTGGTTCCTATCATGACAGAAGTTTTATCTATCTTATGATCAAACATTTGAATGAAACTCAAGCCATATTTCTTCATTTCATACAAGAATACCGTTGGATCTGAATCCAACATCCCCCTCAGTAAGGTAAGCCTCAATAAAACTGTTCAAATACTTTCCACAGGAAGGCTGTATACATCAATCTACCACTTAAAGAAGATGACCTACAAGAAGTAGTCCAACAAAGACTTGATAAACTATCAGGAGAACTTATTACACTGAAAAGCTTGTGTTCCTTAACACCATCAAGTGGGTGCTTCAGTCCTTCAAACTGCATATATCATTTTGATAGTGTACATGTGAAAGCAAATACACAAATCTTACAGAAAGACGACTGTCTATTCGCATGATGGAGCATTAGCCAAAGTGATTGAAAACAATTGAAATCAAAGTACCAAAAAGGTTAAATAACAAAGCACATCTTGTGGGTTACAGACATGATATTGACACTGTCGAGTCATTCATTGCTGTAAGCCGACAAACGTACGGGAAGATGCTTGCAGTTGAGGAAGCCCGTGCAATTAGAGTTTATAAATCTGGTCTCTGTGTACAAAAGCAAATGGTGGTCACTTTTAGCCTACCATGGTAATATGGTTAACTTATTTACTATTATTATTAATATATATTTTATTCTACCTCTTAATATTATTCTTGAGTCATTTAAAACTATCCTTTTTCCCTATCACCATCTTAACGATTTTTATCAATATTATTCACACCTTGCAATTCTTCATATATTCATATTCTTCCCCTGATAACTAATTCTTTATTTAGGTGACGTAACCAAACCGTAATGCATTTTATCTTAATTTTAATCTCTCATACTCCTTTCCCCCTCATCTATCGAAATACGACCTGAAAAACATTCATGCCTGTCGTTTAGCATGATTCATTCAATGTAGTTTATTTGCTTATCAGTTTTATATCTTCCAGTGTAATTCTAATGGTATATATTATTCCTATATTTTTAAGTATTCAGCAGATGAAGAGTCCTATTGAAATTTATTGAATTCATGCAATCCTGCCTTGCTAACAGTATATGTTGCTTGTTTTAAAAACTACAAGTTGTTTTTATGTTATGTGACTTCCAGTTTTTTTTCGGCAACTCTAAACATTAGCAACCCAGGCTAGTGACTCAAGTAAACGGACGTAATGACCTTGATCAATCAGTCAGATAAGCGCGTGGTCAACACGCGTAATCTAAAAAAACTGTTTTATAGACATTAAATTCAGTTTAAAAAATAGTTTTAAGGGGTAACTTTCTCGTATGTGTCCCAAGGAAACCTTCAAATTCTTTATTGGACTCTTTAGTGATGGGTAAAGCCTATTTCTGTGCAATAATTCATCCAGATTTAATTGAACTTTTAGATTTTCCCATCGATTGAATGGACCGAAGTGTCCGGTCTCAGGTTGACACGTCGGCTTCTTATGCAGATGCTTAGACGATGTCTGAGCATTTAGTTAGTATTTAACTGGTGGATGGTAATTAACAGTGGAATCCAAGATGCGCATTTCGTCCTATTTATGACTCGTGGTCAGCTGGATGTACCTGTATTCCCCAGTGAGTGAGTGATGATTTTCCCACCGAGGCTCGAACCCAGTGCCCATAGTTTTAAACGCCAAGGCGTTATCCACCAGACCACTTGGGCTACGAGAGCCACCTCTTGTGCAACGGGTCATATTAATTTAATTGAACTTTTAGATTTTCCCGTCCATCGATTGACCTGCCGGACCATGTGCATGGTCGGCGAGCGTGCTAACCGATATGCCACCGACTCACAAGGATAAGAGCTATAGCCGTAAATAAAACGCCAAACTAGTATTTTAAACCTCAATGATACTTCGAAGATTTTCATAGTTTTGTGAACCTTTTCTAGCTAAATAGAGGTGTATAGCAAATCACTTCACACCCTAACGTATAATGCTACATTTCTAAAATCAGCCAGTTATTTAGCACCTGCATTCAATAAACACAAGTTGCTATAATTTGTAA